CATTTCACCTGTTTAGATTTATTTTTCATTTTCTCCCATAACTACATTTTTAACCAACAAACAACAAAACCAGTCCCCCTTCCCTCTCCCTCTCTTAATGACGCCCTAAATTCTTCGAGTAGTTGGCGTTATTCTCTGTTGTTGTCTCAAATACACACATTCTCTCTTTTTTCCTTCCCACAAATACCTTTCCTCCTCTCCGTTTGTATTTGTATGCTCGCAGCTGTGCTCATTTCGCAAACACGCTTTCGCTGTCGGGGAAAATAGTGGTGAATGTATTAGATAGTAGATGTGTGTGGAGTTTGGTGAACAAAGCCAAAAATAAAGGAAGAAAATGAAGACTGCCCCGCAGAGCTACACATAACAACCAACACACTCTTTTTAATACTTTTGGCTCCCATACAAAATACCGAATTCTTAAAATATGGAATCTCAAAATCGCGAATCGGCTAAAAAAGCTCAAAATATGGAATCTCAAAATATCGAATCTCAAAATATGGAATCCCAAAATATCGAATCGGCCAAAAAAGCTCAAAATATCGACAATGCGGCAAAAGCCAGTTGAGTCTGAACAATCTTATCAACAACTTCGAAAAAATTTAAAAATATGCAAAAGGGTTTTTCTAGGGTAAAAAGATATGCTGATTACGAATCTGAGCTCGGATTTTGAAAAAGTCGAATCCCAGACCCGAACCGAGCTTCAAATCCCGAACCGAATATCGATTTTCCGAATGATAGCTCATTTGAAAGAGCACGTCGAGCTGCATCGACTGACACCAAAATCAATGAAATCCGACTTTATTGGACTGAGATACAGACCCCTGAATAAACTGAAAAAAACCTGCACTCAATTGGCGGCACTCAAACGGCCCTTTTCGTTTTTAAAAAATTCGACATTTTTAACTACTTTTTAGCCGATTCGGTATTTTGAGCATTTTAGCCTATTCGAGATTTTGAGATTCGATATTTTAAGATTCCATATTTTGAGCTTTTTTGGCCGATTCCATATTTTGAGATATTTTTCCCGATTCGGTATTTTGAGCTTTTTTAGCCGATTCGCGATTTTGAGAATTCGGTATTTTGTGCGGGCACGATACTTTTATATAATGTCTCTAACGTCTCTCTAACTATTTAATCTCTTCTCTCTCTCTTCTCTTCTTTTCTTTTCTCTATCATTCGAGTAGTGTCATTAAGTCTCGTTTTGAAATAAAAGTTAAAACAAAAATTAATAAAAAAGAAAACTCTTGTCCGCTCCTCTGATCAAAAGTCTCGATTCTTTTCACTCCTCTCTTCCTCCCTCCCTTTCCTCTTCCCTTCCTCCTCTTCTCATTTTTTTCCTTCAGCTCGGTTAATGTTTTGGTGGCGTGGCGGTTGCTGTCATACTTCTCCACACTCCTCTCCACACTAAACACTTAAATTTTCTCTTATCGGATTGTTTTATTATACATATTGATGGCTCCTTCTAGTCAATAATACAATCACGTTTTCTAAATCATTTGAACACACTTTTTTGCTGTTTTTTTAACTAAAACCTTCAAAAAATTATTATTTCCACACCATTCTTGTCATTTCTTTAAATATTTCGATACCAATACATTTTAGAGTCTGGTGAGTCGTAGGGGAAGTCTTTTATCTTTTTATCATTTCAAAACTTTTAAGATGACCTTTTGTGTTATTTTTATTTCTAAATTCTTCTTATCCTTAATTGACCGATCCCCCCATTCTTGATACCATTTAATGAGAATCATTGAAGAAATCACCTCCCACAAACTTCAGACTCTAATAGACACTTGCTCCTAACGATCGGAACGGGTCCGTTTCCCGTTTCCCGGTTTTTTTGAAGCAACCGGGATGAAATCAGGAACGGGAATTCCCGGTTTTCCCGTCCGAGTCCACCCTGGTCAACTTTCAGAACCCGGTTCCCGGGCCGGTTTTTTCAAAATTCCGATCTCTACTTGCTCCACAGGTGTTCTATTTTTAGCTGACTCACAGAAATTTACTCAAAAATATTTTCAAAATTATTTTTTCCTTTCCTAAAAGATTTTTAAAAAATTTCCTCAAAAATGTTACAACAACCAAATATTTTCCTTCCTGAAACAATTCAACAACAGCTACAACAACAACAACAACAACAAAGACAATCACCCCCAATATTACAGACAATTCGTCGACAACAACACCACCCCCAAGTAAAAACCCAACAATTACCTAATGGAGATTCTAGAGTTATTCGGTCTGAAGTTTGGAATTGTTTTGATTTGGATGGGTTAAATGCTGTTTGTCGTGCTTGTAATGAACGGCTAAAAGTTGGGCCAACTAGACAAACGTGAGGAAATTTTTTGTTTTTTATAAGAAAACAGAATAACTCGCTTATTTCATGAGAGAAGGGCTTCCTTTTAGCAAAAGTAGCTCACTTTGATTTTTTTAGTTTAACGATTAATGTATCACAGGAATGCTGACGGTTCCTAGAAGATCGCCGGCTATCTCAAATCAAATGTCTGAACCGAAACCTTTCAGTTTTTCGATTTTTTCTGTTTGGAATTCTATACTTAACGATTATTCTTTTCTAAACTTTATAAGAAACCCAAATTTTTCGGTGAATTGTCTTTGATCATGGACTTGCTAAATTTTTATAGAACAAGTTCAACGAAGTTTTCTTTGATTTGTGGGTCTTTCCTCCTCAATAATTTAAACTGTAACAAATTATTGGTGGATAGATAGACTACCTATATTTAATAGTGGAATGTATTACACCTTTCCGTGAATTGTCCCCAGTCATTTATGTATGTTTGTCCCCTTATTCAATTTTTTGAATAGCCTTGAAGGGTTAATATATTCGCAAGAAAATATTCTTTTTTTTCCAGTTCTTCTCTTTGGCGTCACTTAAAACGTCACAGTCGAGAAGTCCAGGACAGACTAGTAAAGTCTTGGGCCGAAGCAGGCCTTCCCAGTAGAAGTGCAGATAGAATGGTTGCAAGAATACAGAATGGGGGGACACCCACAAATTTAATTGAACAACGAAAAAGAGAATTACAACAACAACAACAATATTCTTCCCCTTCATTTAATTCAAGTACAACAACCAATTTTACTTCCTCCTCCTCTACTTGTATCCAAAATGATACTGCAGGTCCTTTGGTCACTGTAGATTGCAGACCTGGACAGGCAAATTTTTTTATTTTTGGATTTTTAAAATCTGATACGGAAAGTAGAAACTGAGAAACTATCGAGATCTCTGAAGAATCTCGGTTCTGATGTCCGGGGTCTTTAAATGAATTCTTGCCTCGATCTGATCTCTACCTAGAGAAGTTTCTTTTCCATAACCATTTCTAAATTACTGTAATTATCAATTGCTTGAATTGATACTAATAGCTCTAGGAAGGAGTTATTACAGCACACTCAGTCAATATTATACTATAATTAAAAAGGATATCGAGAGATTATGGGGATTTGGAGATTAAGGGTTTGTGAGATTAAGGGAGTTATCGAAGGACTGAAATCTGTGAGGAAGGGCTAGAATCTAGTGTGGCTAGATCTCTGAGGGGCTAGATTCATTAAAAAAATTTTTGATTACTGATACTACCTATACATTAAAAATAATTTTTTCTCTTTTAGAGTTTGGATTTGGAACAATTATTAGGAGGACTTCAACAAAATTCAAATGACGGGGCAGCAATAAATGAAGGAGAAATTTCTCCGTCTAATAAAATTATTGAAGGGTTGGATAATAATGAAATGGATGAAATGGATTTTGAAGTTGAAGAGGAAGAAGAGCCAATTAAGGCTGCAAAAAGTGAAAAAGTTCAAGAGAATTTTGAAAGGGCTGTCGTTGAATTTTTGTTGGTTAGTTTTTAATGTCTTGGACATTTTGTCGTTTTTCAGTTAATGGGGCATTTTGTCTTTACAAATTGCTGGTTTGGGTGGTTGCCCGACTATTTGAGTTCCAACGCCTATAACCTATAAGAGCCTATTCTCCTAACAAGAATTTTGATTTTTTTACTAGTGGATTCAATTCTCTATCCATCTATACCAATAACATTAAAAATTATCCATCCACCTCCCCTTGAGTTCTAAAGCCGGGAAACAGTTGAACTGCTCCATGCCACTTTAACTTAAATATTTTCTTTCCATTAACAGGAAAATGCTCTTTCATTCACCAAAGTGCTTTTGCAGTCTCCAGCATTTGGAGAAGTTTTACGTTTTTTCTCTTCCTCCCCAACATTTTCTACAAATTTATTTCGCCCAATTATTCCTTCACCAGAACCTTTATTAACTCGACTTGTTCCAAAAATGTTTATAGAAACTTTGGATGAAAGAAAAGCACTTTTTGAAGAAGATTTTTTTGTTTTAGTTTTGAGAAGAACAAAAATTGAAAATGCTCCAAAAGGAAATACTTGTATTTTAAGGTAGATTTTTTGATAAGAGGGGGATTAAACATTTGTGTCTAACTGGTTAGACAAAGTCTCTTCATTTTTCTTAAGGAACAAGAACTATTTCTCTCTTACATTTTTAAATTCTTAAAGTCTCTGTTCTCAGTTCTTTCTTTTTTTATTTTCTTTTAAATACTTCTAACTGGATATCTTTCATTAAAAACAAAATTTCCAGAATTTCTGCTGTCAAGTTAAGCGAAAGTTTTGGCCTTTGTTCTCGTTGTTTGGGTGTTTTTGCCTATCGAGGAGGTCTTCGTCGGTTAAGAGATGCTCTTAGAAAGTGTTTTGAAGAAGGGAGTGTACAATTAAAATTATGGCAAGTCTCTGCAGTTGTTCATGATGGATCGTCGGAATTTGAAGAACTTTGTGAACAATTGGATATTCCTGGGCAAGTTTATTTAATTTAACAGTTAAAGCCAAAATAGTAGCTTTATGGCTTAGTCGGTTAATGCCCTGACTTTGACATAAACAGTTGTGGGTTCGAATCCTTTTGACTTCATTTACTTGGATAAATTAGTTAAAATTATTTTTTAAATATTTTATAATTTTAGAATTCTCTCAGCTCCTTTAATGCTTCGAAGTATATTTAATGAATTGGATAAATTACAATTTTCTGCGGGATGTGTACGTCGAGTAAAGAACAGATTTGAACAAACTATAGGAAATGTAAGTTTAAAAGAAAACTTTCCTCTTTTCTTTTCTTGGAGATTTACTTGGGATTTTGATCGATTACGTAGTTCCCATACAACGTAAGATCTCTCACTCCTACGCCTACGGCGTAACCATTGGCCCCAGAAGTCCCCCTGACTACCCCTTGTCCTTCAGTTATTTTGGACTCTTAGATTAGATTTATTAACAAGAATAGAGCCTAACTGGCCTAGTTATTTCTCCTCCAGCTAAAACGAAAGGACAGACTGCTGGTAGAGACCTTAAGTTTTCAGTTGACTAGACTGATGTTTCCATCGCGCCACCTCCTCCTTAGCCTAAGGCTTTACATTAGACTCGGACTAGACTTCGCTATCCTTTTCACAAAAATTAACAAAAAAAATTCCTTTTTAAAGGCATTGGATGGATTGCATTTTTCAGCATTTTCAATAACAGTTCCAATACTAATAGAAAGAACAAATAATTTTTGTAATTTAAATGTTGAGCAAGAGGAAAAAACAAAAGAATTTATAGAAGAGCAGCGTTTAATTGAAAAATTTAAAATCCTTTGGAATTTTCAAAGAGAAAAACTTTTGAAAGAAAAAACAGCAAAAATGTCAATATTTCTAAATCCAAATAATTGCCATAATTTAAATAAAGGAGGGCCTTTTAATTCTGAAGAATGGAAAAAAGTTGAGACGTTAATTATTGAGGAAATATGTCAAGCTTGTTTACCTTTAAAAAATAATACAACAGAAAATGAAGGAGGAAATGGGAATAATTTGAATGAAAAATGTGGTGGTGAAAATGAGGAGGGGGAATTTAAACAAAGAATTGAAATTGAGGTAAGAAAAAGTGTCAATTTTGCCCGACTCTCGATACATACAAATTAAAAAATAAATTTCTAAAATGAGTTGAATAAGACTTGAGAGAATTGCAATTAATGTTGGCAAGGGTTGTCGTTTCTCGGAAAATTTTCGAATATCCGGAATCCGGTTTTTCGGTCAGTTTGATTCAAAGAAAAATTTAAAGGATTTTGGGCACTGGTTATATTTTTGTGTTCTTGAGTTATTGTTAGATCAGGGTTGCGATCAACAAAATGGCAATTTCGTAAGTACGGAGGTCGATTTTAAAGTACAATACTTACAAATAAAGTACGAATCGCAACCCTGTGTTAGATCCCAATCTCTTCTAACAGAACTTACTGTTCCATTTAAATGTCATTTTCTAATTATATGACATGTTAGAGGGGTTATTTAAAAATAGATTTGACTGTCATTTTATCTCTCAAAATTTAATTTAACAAAAAATATCTTAAAAAATTAATTTTTTAAAGGCAGAAGTAAATAGTTATGTAGAGGCATCGTTGAATGAATTACGTAAAAAAGAAGAAGTAGATAATCAACAACAACAACACCAATCATTAAGTGAATTATTGTTGTGGTGGAGAACAAATATAGAAAGATTTCCACGTGTCGGGCATTTAGCCAGACAATTTTGTGCAATCCCTTTGTGTGTCGAAAATGGGGAAATAAATATATTTAAAGAATTAAATAAAAATAATAATGAATTAAAGAATGCAAATTATGCAACAGAATTGTTAAATACAGATTTGGCTGGAGAAAGAGATGATTATTCTGCAGATATGTTAATTGTTAGTCAATTGTTGACTGTTAGAATTGCTGTTATTGAAAAGAATAATAATGGGTGTGGAGGAAAATAAATGTGAAAAAAAAATTGATAAAATGATAAGAATGTTAAATTATTTATTTGAATAATATTTTTTGTAAATAAAATTTTTTGAAAAATTTAAAAAAAAAGTTTTTTAAACCTTTCTTAGAAAAACTAGAATACTGCCACCCCTTGTGACAATTTTAAATATTTTCCCTTTCTGACCATTTTGTCCGTCTGTGCAGTGTAGAGATCTCGTTATTTTTCAGCGCTTGGGCATTTTATCGCTTTTTGAAAGAAAACTAAAGAGAACCCATTAAAGCAGAGAAATGATAATATGTAAGAGAGTGTATAAATATTTTATGTTCTTATGCTCTTTTCTTTTAAATTTCTTTTATTTTATGCAGCGTCTAAAATTTATTATTGTTTTTTGCTTGTATATTTTGCTTTTGCTGCAGTCTTCGGTTTAATTACCCAAGTTTGAGGTACTAATTGTATCCTGCCCTTGTAAAGGTGGCAGCTTGGATAAATTTTGGGATTGCTTTGCCTTTTGGCGGGGCTTAAATTTGGGGGATTTTGTTTGGTGGTAGTATATGCATACAGTACGTATGATTAAAAAATGCCAAATTGTGAAGTCATTTGTTGTGTTGTAATTCGAATGTGTCTGAGCCATACCTCGACAATCGATTAATTGGTAGCAAAGAATTAAAGTTTCAAAGATATGTAGTCAATGTTGGTGGTATATCAGAAAAGTCACAGCAGCAAAGAGTTTTCTTAATTCAATTTAATTCAACAAGTCAAACCTATCAAAATTCTTTTAAACGTTTTTTGAAATAGGAATACTGGAAAGTGATGAACAAAAATTAATGATTCTGGTAACTAAAAATAAGGAAAGACGTTAACTTTTTGAATTCTATGAGGTGTTGAAGATGAAGACGATGGATTATTTGAAGTATTTCCAACATTTTCATCAAAAATGTTGAATGATTATTCAGGAATGTAAACTCGATGGTTGTGACAATTTTAAATATTTTCCCTTTCTGACCATTTTGTCCGTCTTTGCAGTGTAGAGATATCGTCATTTTTCAGCGTTTGGGCATTTTTTCGCTTTTTGAAAGAGAACTAAAGAGAACCCATTGAAGCAGAGAAATGAAAATGTTTAAGGGAGTGTATAAATATTTGATGTTCTTGCTGTCTTGTCGTTAAAAATTCTTTTATTTTATGCATCGTCTAAAATTTAGCATTGTTTTTTGCTAGTATAATTTGTTTTTGCTGTAGTCTTCGGTTTAATTACCCAAGTTTGAGGTACTAATTGTATATTGCCCTTGTAAAGGTGGCAGCTTGGATAAATTTTGGAATTGCTTTGCCTTTTGGTGAGGCTTAAAAAATCTCTAGTGGAGTGGTTGAGTTAATCTTGTTATAAGGCAATGGATCAATTGCATGAATAATCTGTAGAAAAAGTTTTATACAGTGGGGAAAATTTATTTTTTTCTCAACCTTCTTTACAAATTATTTTCCTTTTCTTTGATCAATTTTTCTTTTTGGATAAAAATAAAATATTTTTAAAGAAAAGAGATGAGTGTTTTTATTGTTACTGTTCAAACAAATATTTTATTTATATTTTCTGTGTCCAGTCAACCATCACGGCTACTCCTCTAGTATAAGAAAAATAAATTCTCCTTTACTCTAAAAATATAAAGTGAAAGAGAAAGAAAAATTGTCCGAAAAAAACGTGCGCATTACTTGGCCATTTTTATTGATGAAATTTTTAAAAAATTAAATGATTTTTAATACATCTAATAATGACTTGGCTGCCTTAGAATTTGAAGAAGAAAATTCTTGTTTATCCTTTCAATCACAATTTGAAGACAATGAACAGGTAAACAAGTAAAAAATCCTTAAAAAATTTTCTAAGAATTTCCAAACAATTCTTTGGTGGACAAATGCTGTTTGTTTACCCATAATTGCTGTAATTGGACTTTTTTGTAATGGATTAAATATTTTAGTTTTGGTTAGTACTGAATTGGCGAGAAGGATGCCCTCTTGGTATATAGATAATTTTTTTAGTTTTTAAGTTGATCTTTTGGGTCTGGGTATTTTTAAAGCAAGTTTTCCTTCGGTCAATACATATGTAGATTTCTATTATTTTGAGGGAAATTTTTCAAGATGGTCAATTGTTTTTAATATTTTGAGTTAGTTCATTTGCTTGTTCTTGTTTTAAAAACCTTCCTCTCTAGGGTTGGGATTTTCGAGTCGTGCCGACGTTCGAGTCATTTTTATCGGGCCGACCCGACCGAGTCTTTTTCGGGCCAAAATTCGATGCCCTATTCAATCTTTCGGACCGGGCCCCTCACCCTATTCATCACCCCTTCAGTCCCAAAAAATATCTTTTTTTAATTCTTTCAATATTTTCTCCCCTCAGGCATTTTTTGTTAGCCTTGGCTTTATTCGACTCTGCTTTTTTAATTTTTGCTGTTCTAGAGCTTTCTTTACCAATACCTTTAGATGGCCAACATTTACTAATTTCTGTACATACTCGTTTTGTTTTATTTATTAGAATGTTTGCTTCTGCTTTTTATAAAGCTTCAATTTTGTAAATTTAAAGATTTTTTAAATAATTTTCTTTAAAAACAAGAATTGTTGTTGCTTTTAATGTTGAACGTTATTTGTATGTTTGTAGACCCCTTTGGGTTTATAGAAGTGGAATTTTGGAAAAAAGAGCTGGTTGTGTTGTTGTTATGGCTTTGGTTATTGGATTACTGTAAGGGGTTTGAATTAAAGGGGGGTTTTAAAATGGAGACTTTCAAAACGGTAAAAACCGTTTGGATAAAATTGGGAATGCCCAAATTGGAATTAGAGCCCGGGCCTACGGCCGGTACGGAATTCTGGGCTTAATTTGGGATTGAAAGCTTCGGAAAGGGTGGGACAAAAAAAGTAGAATTCTGATTATTTTTAGATGTAGTATTCAATGGCCATTAACGTGGCGTGTTGTTGAATTAGAATGTAACGAGCCTTGTGAAAAAGAGGAAATTGAAAATAATTGTTTAAATGTCAACAAAACAAAAATATTAAAATACTCAATTGTTGTAATTAAAGAATCTTTGATATTACAGGTAAATTAATTTTTGTTTCTATTTATTTAAGTGAATTTATTCGAGTATGTAAAGGAAATTATTTTTACAATTGTATCTCAATTTTACAGACAAATTTCTGCTTAATATATAAAAATTCAAATTTGTAATTATTTAAGTATATCCATGTTGTCAGTGTCTGCTTCTGTAAAATTCTTTGTTTTTATGTATCAATTTTTGGGCCGGGGGTTGTGTACAGACCCCCTTAAATTATTTTAAAATTATGGTACATTCTTATTATAGTTGTACCTCACTATACAAAATTTAGAGAAATTTGGCATTTCCGCGCGAGATCCACAAATTTAAAATTCGGGATTCCGCAGACATTTTTAAAAGTTACTCCCGCATGTGGGATATGGATATTTATCAAGGTTATCGGATCCGGATCCGAAAAAGGCCGGATATCCGGAAATTTTCGGTTCGGATCCGGGTTTACGAAGATTTTAGATAGTATTTCACCTCTAGAGTCCCTGTAAAATTGAGATCCGACCAAAATTATAATTCTTCGTTTTTCAAGAAATATTATCGTTTAATGGACTGGTTTTCACTTTTTATGTTTAATTTATTCCCAATTGTCTTACTTGCCTATTTAAATATTCAATTAATGCAAACTCTGAGGCATATTGTTAGAAGAGATTCTTCTGTTTCTGCAAACTTTTTACAGCAAAATTGTGAAGAAAATAATGAACAAATTGTTTGAAAAAAATATTTTGAATTAAATTTTTAAATTTAAAGAGAGTTTTGCCTGTAGAAATTAAAGAAGAAAATCAACAAAATAATTGTAATAATTCAAATGCTAATGCAATGCTTTTTGCCGTAGTTTTACTTTTGTTTGTTTGTATAGGGCCACAGGCTGCTGCCAGATTACTTTATGAATGGCATGGAATTTATCATTTAAATTCTGTTTTGTATACTTGCATTACTCAACAGGTAAATTGAAAAGAAAGAAGGGGGAGAAGTAATGTTTGGGTTAAAACTAGAGTGCTGCACGGGAGGGATTCTGTACAAATTTTACATGATACTGTCTTAAAATTCCGAATTTAAAGTGACTTGAGAAAAGATCATTCTGATTAGATTTAATAAACGTAATTTTAAATTGTTAACCTTATTACAATTTAAGCCTCACCAGAGGGCAAAGCAATTCCAAAATTTTTCCAAGTCGCCGCTCGAAAGGGCAGGTTACAATTATTACCTCAAACTTGGGTAATTAAACCGAAGTGCAAAGCAAAAGCAAAACATACAAACAAAAAACAAAGATAAATTTCAGACGCTGCATAAAATAAAAGAAATTTTAAAGAAAAGAGTGTAAGAACAACAAATATTTATACACTCCCTTAAACATTTTCATTTCTCTGCTTTAATGGGTTCTCTTTAGTTTTCTTTCTAAGAGCGAAAAAATGCCCACACGCTAAAAAATAACGATATCTCTACACTGCACAGACGGACAAAATGGTCAGAAAGGGAAAATATTTAAAATTGTCACTACCCTAGAATCAATTATTTTAAATTTGGGTTTCCTTTTTTGCCATTTTTATTTACCTCTTTTTAGCCTGATAGGTTTTTTGTTTGTGAGAAAGGATTGGTGTGTTTTTTTGGCGTTGATTGCACCAATTAAAATTGTCGAACCGATACTAGGTTTAATGTTATGAATACATTAAAGCAGTTACCAGTGCCTCGTTGTGAAGTTGATGTTTTGATCAGAGTCGCACATGTTTCTATCATGAGTGAAGTCCACGGAGTATAAGAAATACGTGAATCGTACTCAGTAAAGTATGAAGAGCTCATCTTTATAAGACGATGGATTGACCATGAAGAAAATTGATCTTCGTTAGCCTATTTATTTAGGGCTTATATGTACACACCAGTGTATTCCCAATCGCTTTTCTAAGGATATGTATGTTATCGGCGATGTTAGTAACTCTGGGAATTGTGTTTTTAGGATGATCCTGACATTACAACAAGATGAAACCTGGCTAAAACGACATGGCGTACATCCGTGGTTTAACTTTTAAGAGGCCAGGTGTTATTTAACTTGTAGATGTGGTTTATGTATGCGTCTTTTCATGTGATGTCAAAACTTTAGAAATTCAATTTTAAGCCTCGCCAAAAGGCAAAGCAATTCCAAAATTTATCCAAGTCGCCACTTAAAAAGGGCAGGTTACAATTAGTACCTTAAACTTGGGTAATTAAACCGACAACAACGGCAAAAGCAAAATATACAAGCAAAAAACAGTGATAAATTTTAGACGCTGCATAAAATAAAAGAAATTTTAAAGAAAAGAGTGTAAGAACATCAAATATTTGTACACTCTCTTACGTATTTTCGTTTCTCTGCTTTAATGGGTTCTCTTTGTTTTCTCTCAAAGAGCGAAAAAATGCCCACACGCTGAAAAATAACGATATCTCTACACTGCACAGACGGTCAAAATGGTCAGAAAGGGAAAATATTTAAAATCGTCGAAACAAATACACATGATTGTTTTACTGTCATTCATTGTTTCATTTTTATCCAGAATCTCGGTGGGGGTCCCGGTAAATTTGAAAACGGGATTTAAGGTATTTTTAAACAAACCCCATTACTGGATCCTTTGTGGCACTCTAGTATTTTAGTTTTCAAGGAGCTAGTTCAAACGTTCATAAAATAGTCAAAAAGTACCTAGAGGTCTGAAATTTTGTTGGAACATCTTTAATAGTATTAAATATCAGATTTAAAAATTTCAGAATTTTTATTTCATTATTTCTAAAGATTCAGTCAAAAAACTAGGCGAAAATTTACATTTTAGTCAGAAATTTGACTTTTCTGACCGGAACTCCTGAAATAAAAAAGTCAGAAATTATTAAATTTTTAGAATAATTAGATAAACATTTTACATAATTTATTCCCAGCTATTCCCCTTCTTCTAATCAAACACGCCTACACACTTCCTATCATTCTAAAAAATTTCTTTTTTATAGTTAGTGTTTCTAAATGCTTCATTAAATTTTTGTCTTTATTGTTTGGTCTCTCGCCGTTATCGTTTAATGCTTAAAGAAACAATAAATCGTTTGCTTCATTGTAATTTTAAAATAATTATTAAAAGTGAAGGTCGTTGTTTACAAAAAACAAAAGATTCCAACGAAAATAATAAGAAATTTCAATTAATTTTACAAAATAATACAAATTCAAATAGTAATGATGAACAAATATCTTTTCCTTTAATGCAAATGAATAAATTTAATAATTAAAAGTTAAAGGCGACATTTGATCCCAAAAATATTTTTTTGGTAATTTTCAGTTTCATTCCTCCTTTCTTCCTGTTTCTTAAAATGGTCATTCTCATCTTCCTCAATTTCCCTAATCATTTAGTGAAGGATTTAAATAGAGGAAGGGAGAAAGAAGTGGAATGAAATTGAAAATTATCAATTTTTAAAATTTTTGATATGTGATAAATTGATATATAAAATATATATTTCTCTCTAAAATAAAAATGCATATTAAAGGAATATTTAGATGTAATACAAGAAAGTATTCATAAAAGAAAAAAATTTGGAAATTAGCCACATTTTAAAAGAATTTTTGAGAAGAATTTATGGATTAAAAGAAGTTAAAACAACTTGTCTCCCAATGTTGGAACATCTTCCCTGATGTTTGAAAAGCCTTCTCAATATACTCCGTTGATGAATAAAGTTCACCCCTCATTTGAACAATGTTCCCTGTAGAACACACTTATAGTAAATACATTCAAATAAAAATTTAAGCTTTTACAAGAAAAAATCAAAAATCGAGCCTTATTCAAGGAAGGAAATTGAAAATGCAAAAATGAATAGGAGAATGGGGCAATTCCCGATTCTTACTTGGACCAGAGAAGGTTATCTGCATTGATTGTGAATTTATTACAGATACCTCCTCCTTCCTCGAAAAATATTCAAATTACTAATAATAATTAAGGTGAAGGGAGAGTAGATTGGAGTGTTGGCACCCGAATTCTCTATGAACCATACCCGCCTGAGCGAATTATTGGAAACATCGACAATAAATTAAAAGACAGTTTTCTAGTAGCGGAGTTGTTTTGTTCAAACAGTCGGGATATTTTGGGAATCAACTATAAACGCGATGTATCTGTAGCCAGTTAATTTTATTTTAAACTTCTTGGCGAGCTTGCTGAAAATGGTCAAATTGTCGAAGTTGAGGGAACAGCTGAGAAGATTGCAGCAGCAAGGCAAATTGGAATAACAACAATATTAGCTCCAAAAGAAATGGAAAAAATTTTGAATCCCATTAAAAACAAACTCGATATTATCTACATTTCGAATATTTTAGAAGTGTTGCCATATTTAGAAGTAGGGTTGCGCCCCGACCCCGACTAACCCCGACCCCGACCCCGAACCCCGACACTTTTTGACCTAAAACCCCGACCCCGACATTCCCAACCCCGACCCCCGAAAGTTCGACCCCGACGACCCCGAACCCCGAAAAATTTTTATGACCCCGACTCAAACTGCATTAATTAACTAGAGATCGGAACGGGACTTCACCCATCTAGCTATTGACTTCACCCATCTAGCTATTTTGATAGGTATGGTGTTCGAATACATCGATTGAAATGGGACTGAGAAAATTTTTCTTCTCAAAAATAAATATTTTTAAACTTTGATCTTGATTTTAAATATGCAAATTTATTTTTTTTAATATTTTAAACTTGAAAAAATTTTAGAAATTTTAAACTAGTCATGAATTTTCCAAAATTTTCACCTGTGGCGTAGAAAATGGAAGAAATCTGTCTCTTGGCCTTCCTAAATTCTAAAAATTTTCGCCTGCGGCGCAGAAAATGGAAGAGATCTGGCTCTTGACCTTCCAAAATTCTCAAAATTTTTGCCTGCGGCGCTAAACTCAATGAAGGGATACAGAGGCTTTAGGAGAAATTGATGGATAGATGGATTTCTCCAGTTATACTTGCAAATCCCCGATATCCCTTCAAATCCCTCTAAATCCCATTATATCCATCTTAATCCTCTGATATGCCTTCATATCCCCTCACTCCCTTTAAGAGGGGGAGTAAGAGTTACCTTGTGGGTTTGGGGATTTTGGGGATTATGAAGGATAACTTGGATAAAGTACTTCTTGCGCCTTCAACTAATAACGAATTAGATTTAGAAAGTGAAGATAATGAAGATTAAGTTGATTTTTTAATAAAAATGTTGATTTTGCACAGTAATATTGGATAAAAATGCTGGATTTTGTAAATTTTCACTTCAACCCCGACCCCCGACCCCGACCCCGACATGATTTTCAGCCCCGACCCCGACCCCGAACAATTTGAGCAACCCCGACCCCGACCCCGACTTTGTCAACCCCGAAAACCCCGACCCCCGACTTTTTCAACCCCGAAGGCTCGGGGCGCAACCCTATTTAGAAGTATAATCAAAAATAATTTTAATAAAGCATTATACTTCTAAATATGGCAACACTTCTAAAATATTCGAAATGTAGATAATATCGAGTTTGTTTTTAATGGGATTCAAAATTTTTTCCATTTCTTTTGGAGCTAATATTGTTGTTATTCCAATTTGCCTTGCTGCTGCAATCTTCTCAGCCGTTCCCTCAACTTCGACAATTTGACCATTTTCAGCAAGCTCGCCAAGAAGTTTAAAATAAAATTAACTGGCTACAGATACATCGCGTTTATAGTTGATTCCCAAAATATCCCGACTGTTTGAACAAAACAACTCCGCTACTAGAAAACTGTCTTTTAATTTATTGTCGATGTTTCCAATAATTCGCTCAGGCGGGTATGGTTCATAGAGAATTCGGGTGCCAACACTCCAATCTACTCTCCCTTCACCTTAATTATTATTAGTAATTTGAATATTTTTCGAGGAAGGAGGAGGTATCTGTAATAAATTCACAATCAATGCAGATAACCTTCTCTGGTCCAAGTAAGAATCGGGAATTGCCCCATTCTCCTATTCATTTTTGCATTTTCAATTTCCTTCCTTGAATAAGGCTCGATTTTTGATTTTTTCTTGTAAAAGCTTACACTGAAATTTTTATTTAAATGTATTTAAGAAAAAGGAAAGTTTTTCCTACGAATTTAAGAGGCCTTCTATAGGGCATGAAAAACTGAATGATCTTTACTGAACTATTTTTTATAAAACATAGAAACACGAAACAAGGGAAAACCCCCAGAAAAATAGAGACAGGTCTTCTATCGATTTAAGTTTTTCCCCAAAAAATTTCTCAAAAATTCTTTAAAAAAACCTTCTACAAAAAATTTAAAATCCAAAATTTCAATCCAAATCCAATAAAACAGTTGTTTGTGTTGTTGTAGTAGCTGCACCATTTATTTGTGTATTTCCATTTATAGATAAACTTCTTCCATTATTAATTGTTGGTGTTGTTGGTGTTTCTGCTTCGTCAATTCTACTTTCTTTAACTGAACGAAGTGAAGAAGTTCTACTTCTGTGTGGAGAAGATGAATTTGTTCTTCGTCGAATATATTGATCAAATAAATTGTTTCTGTGTGGAGATACCCAAAATGTTGAAAATAGTGAAAGTAAAAATAATTCACAAATTATAGCAAAATTACAAATAACTGGAAAAGAAAAAAATATTTAAAAAATCAAAATAAATCTAACAATAAGATCGGTCTTATTGGGAAATTTAAAAAAGGAAAGATTTTCCTACGAATTTAAGCCTTATTTACATTTATTATGAATCCGTTTAACTATTTTTACAAGAAAAATTTGGATAGAAATATATTTTCATCAATTTTCCAATCTTTTTAAAAATTTACAAAATCCCTTTCCTCAAAAAACTTTCTTCATACTCCCATTTTTAGTGTCTTCCAAGGGCGTATCCACGAGGCGGAAGCCTCTCCCCCAGAAATGGGAGAAGTGGAAAAATTTTGGGAGGCCCTCTGAAATCGATCCCATGGCTACGCCCTTGCAGTTTTCATCTCTAGTATGACAATCCCGAAAGAGAGTATCTTCAATTTAAATAATTTCTGTTATTTGAATGAATTTCCCTAAACTATTTTCTCAAATTAAAAAAAACAAACATCTAGCATTTTCTTGTGGAGAAAGAACAACACCACAACGAATAACACCAAATCGAAGTAAAATATTTTGAAAAATAAAAGGTTGTTGAGCAGTAAAAAGAAAAAGTCCCAAATCAACAACCCTGAAAATACCTCCAAAACCATAACAAGAAAGTTCTTCCTAAAAAAGGAAAAATAATAATTAATGAAAATATTTTTAAAAAATACAGAAGTAAGTCGTGCCAATGTATGAACTCCAAAAATGGCAAGAAGTAAAGAAGCAAATGTAGCGAGATCAAAAAATTGGAGCCAACTTTAAATTAAATAAATTTTAGAAGATAATTTTTTAATTAAAAAATGTTAAAATAGTTTAGCTTTTTAAAAAATCCTTAACATAAAATTTTACTGTTTAAACAAATGGAAATATTAATTAGCCGTGAAAAGGTTCGAACCGTGGGTGCCCTCTCATATTGAATAGGGGTCCACTTTTCTTGAATTTTGCAGCGGACGGCTATTGCAGATATCGCGATGCGGTTTTCTGTAATGAGTTTGTGATCGGTATGGGCAACTTTCTATCCGAGCTCCGAAAAATTTTTTGCCCTAAAAGGGTTCGGGAAATGTTGGTCAAATATTTCAAAAATTTCTGGTGAAAAAAAATGAATAGGGAGGCACAAATGAAAAAACGAGGAATCTAACAAAAATAGGGGTAATTAAGGGGGAATGATAAGAATGAGGAGGCCAATAACGAGAACTTAGAATATGTCCCTAAATTTATAATCTTCCCAATAAAGTGGTATCTAATTAAGGGGGAATGATAAAAATAAGAAGGTTAATAACGAGAACAGGAAAAAGTCTTTTGATTTATAGTCTTCTCAATAAAAAAATATAATACTTGTAAGCATTCTCTCTAGCTTCAGCAACAACCACAACTTGTCCAAAAACAATAAAAACCCTAACTATAGGTGCTTGTAAAACTATCCATTCGAGTTTAGTTAAATTCACACTTAAAATAAAATTTTTAACCAAAAAAATTAACAAAAAAAACAAACATTGAAGGTCTAGCTTTAGGCAAACACCACAAAAAACAGCAAAAAGGAGGGCTTCTAAAGTCAATAACTTTCCCCTTTTCAGTCAAAGAATTGGATAAGGCAGTTCTTCCACCAGCCAAATGACGCATTAAGGAGACCAAAACAAAGAGGCAAAGAAGAAAATAAAGAAGACCAAAAGATGAAACTAGCAAAGCTGTTCGGGGACAGAACATCCCAACCATACAACAACAGGAACAAACCTTAAATAAAAAATTTCAGAAAAAAATATGTGTGTGATTTAAAATAAAATGAGGATGAAGTAGTATAAGCAGCTTAATCGGAAAAAAATGGAAACCGATTTAAAAATTCAAATTACATCAAGCAATCTTTTTTGAAAAATAAGTTCTTAAAGTGAAACTAACGAATAAATTATCGACCAATCTTCAAATGGCCTGTTTTTAAATTTTTGAGGTCCTTATGTTAAGTTATTGGCTGGCCTTTTAAAAACTTAACCAATGAGACTTAGTATCCCTAGAGAATGATTCTCGTGAAACATTTCTTATATAATCAAAATTCCTTAAGATTGCCGAATATTTCCCCCAAAAAAATATTATTGAAAATAACCGGAAATAGCGAAATTAGTAAATAAAGTTTATTTCTTCTTTGCTCTGACGACACATAATTGAAAATATACCACCAATGTATACTTGCCAAAAATAAAATAGCCAAAATTAAGCCACTTCCAACAGAAAGAAAAACAATTTGGAACCCTTCCAAATCTGTCAAAAAATTTAAATTTTTCAAAAAAAAATTAAAAATAAACTTGAAATAAATTCTCCAGCTGAAGGCGTGTCATTAAAATTTATTGAATGATTTTTACAAGATCCATCAATTTTTTGTGGAAGAATTAAAGTAACAATCCAATTAAATGCATGAGCAATAAATGTCCAAAAATTGGAAGAATCAGAAGTCATTTTTTGAATAAAAAAGAAATTCTGTAGAAGCAGATTCCTAAAATTATTTAAGAAATTTTTTTGTAAATTTAAAAAATGAGTCATTGAATTGATTTATACTAGGGTTGCTCCCCGACGAGGAGGGGCCAAAGGGAACAATTTTCGGTGAGGCAGCGCCACGGGGGAAGGAAGAGGCGGGGAAAATTTTCCCCAAATTCCCCGACCTTCGGGGACGGGGAACAACCCTAATTCATACTCACAGAATCATTAATATTAGATAAATAAATTGGGTCAATTCGACACCCATATAATATAAAATATAAATTAATATAAAATTTAAACAAAAATAACAAAATGGGAAATTTTCCAATAAAAATGTAAAAGAGATCAATTTAATTCAAAAAAATTTTTTTCTTTTGATTTTCTTTCCAACACATAAAAATTGCATGATTCCTCTCAATTCTACGTTCCATTTCTTTTATTGCATCTTTATCATTCATTTGAGGTTTTCCGGGCGCAGGATTAATACAATATACCCAATCACAACAACAAAAAAATACTTGGTTCAGTTTCCTAGATTCCTCAATTTTCCCTTTCCACCATTCTGGGCCATAATCAATTGTTAATTCGTCGCCTGGGATGATATCACGGCTGTTTAAAAAATTTTTTTTAATTTCAAAAAAATTAAAAATTAAATAACCTCGCAAAAAATCCCAAAGAAATTCTAGATTTGTCTCTATGATGACTATAATAACGAAAAGGATGCAGATTTTCAAAGCAAGAATGGTTAAGAAAACGTGTTATATTGCCATAAACGTGAGGATCAACATCTTAAAAATATCTTTTACAATTAGAAAAAATTTATTCTTTTCCCAAAAAGAAATTCTTTAAAAAACTAAAGTGTAACTAGCTAAAAGGTTGCTCTTACAAGTTTGAAAACTAAATTTCAAATTTTCAAAGAAAAATTTTTTAGAGCTTGCGAGTCATTTAAATCAACTAGCAAAAAGCATATTAATAAAAAATATAAGCAAAAAACTAAAATGTTATAGACCACATTAAAAATAAATTTAAAAAATTTACAAATATTAGCAGATTTATTAATATCCAAAAGCGGCAAATCATAAGCATAATCAATCGGTCTGTGAGCCATACTATTATGGTGAACAATTTCACCAACAAATTCTGCTATAAATGTACCTAAATAGAAATAATAAAATTTAAATTTTTTTAACTTATCAAAGAAAACCTGCTTCAATTAACTGTCTAGAACGAACAGCCCAACCAGCCAAAGGCGTTTTAAAGACTTCAACCTCCAAATTAAACTTTTCAGGTGTTAAACGCCAATGACATTTTCCTTTGCAACCAAGACAAGTATTTTTATCACATTCATAAATTATGTTCTCATAAAAATTTGGAACGCCATTTGTGAGATCGATTTTATGGTCCTAAAATATTTTAGTGAAAAGTCGGAAATGGAAGAATTTAGAGCCGCAAATTTTTTATTGACCCATACTCGGTAAGGAATACCGAAAAATACCGTCAGCAGGGTAGCACCGTTCGGCTATAGAGGAATTTAATAAAACCCTCAAACTACTCACTCAAAAGAATCAAAATAAATTTTAAATAGAAATCTCGCTTTTAGAGAGCGAAATTTTCATAAAAAATCTTAACCTTGATTTCGGATGAGTACCTTGACCTGAATCCTGACCTTGAGTCAAGGAAAAATCAAGGTCTAAGAAAAATCAAGGAACTCTGAAAAATGCCTTGATCTGAATCCAGGAAAAATCAATCTCTAATAAATTTAATAAAAATGCCTCCAACTTTTAAGTTAAAATTAAATAAATTACATAAATTCTTGCTGTACTGTTGTCTATACAAGCACAACTCCCAGGAAGACACACATCAACACAATCACAACCATTCTAAAAGGTTAAAAAATGCGTGCTCCTCAGTTTAAAAAATTAACCAAATTTTTCTGTACAAAATCTTCTCTTTCAACATTTTCTGCGACATAAAGAAATCTTTCCTTAAAATTAGAGTTGTCGACAACATTCACAACTGGAATTCTACAGCTTGCACTCCCATTTGATAAATCCTCTTTTACAACTAAAAATGGTTTATTATTGAAGGGATTGTAAACATAAACAAAACGAACTCATAAAAGTTGTATTTGAAGTAAATTTGATTAATATATGTTGTTTTTGCTAAAATAAATAATAAAAAATTAGTAGCAATTCCGCTGAAAGATATAAAAGATAAACAACCCAATTCAGAAAATAATTAATTTGACCTAAATGAAATGTTGGCGTTTTGTTTATTGACTGCAGTTGATGTTTTGAAATATTTAAAACGATTTATTCATGACAATTTATTACAAAATATAAAATGTCAAATTGGTAAAAAAGAAAAATTTTCTAAAACCCGCAGAAATTTTTGATAGTTTCTTTGCTTAAAATTTTTTTAAAATGTTGTGTTTTACTTCATATTTTGTTTTATCTTGTTTATAATCTCGTTTAAGGATTTTAAGCAATATTTATTACTGCCTTAATCTGCCTTAAAATGAGCAGAGTTTACATTGGCAATCTTTCTTCTCGTGCTGATGAACGTGATATTGAAGATTTTTTTAGAGGATTTGGAAGAATTCGTGCTGTTATGCTTAAAAATGGCTTTGGTTTTGTGGTATTTTATAATTTATTTATCTCATTTCTAATCAAAATTTAGGATTTTGATGATTCTCGGGATGCTGAAGATGCTGTTTACGAACAAAACGGTCGTGAGCTATGTGGAGAACGTGTTGTTGTTGAAATTTCTCGTCGAGAGCGTAATTTTTTGACTTTAGTTTTTTACCCTTACATTTAAGGTCCTGGTGAAAGTGGTGGTGATTATCACAGTAGTAGTGGTGGCGGAGGATACCGAGGGAGCGGAGGTGGATACCGTGGTGGCGGAGGATATCGTGGTGGCGGGGGCTATCGCGGAGGGGGTGGATATCGTGGTGGCGGCTACCGAGGTGGAGGAGCGTAAGTGGAATTAGTTTCTTTTCAATTGGTTTATCTGCTTCAATTTGATTTAGTTTACATCGTTTCAGCGCTCGCTATGGTCCACCCATTCAAACACGTTATCGGATGCTTGTGTACAATTTGTCTACTCGGTGCTCATGGCAGGTTCGAGATTACTTTTTTAATCATGGATTATCTATCTGTAGCTTTTCCCAACTTGTTATTTTTACTTATATTTTAGCCCCGGGTTTTAAGAGCACAAAAACTCTGATTTTTTCAGTTAAAGTCTCGGAAGATTAGGATGAGGAAAGAGATGTCAATATTGAGGTATCTGATGAGATGCGCAATTTTTAACCAATTTCCCGCTAAATTATTACTGAGGGATCGCCCGTCCCTCGTCTCTCACTGATGTCAATAACTGAGGGTTTTCGCGCTTCACTCGGCTTCTAATTTTGACTTATGAAGTTGATAGTTAAGAAGAATGAATAGACGTCAAAGGTGAAGAGTGGCAATTTGAAAGTATTTTGTTTTAGTTTTGAGGGTGTTTGTTCTTCACCTTTGTTTTGAGTTAAGCCATCGTTTTAAACTACTGGGGGATTCACCTTCAAACCGCTGATCTGATCAGAACGGCGGGATGATATACCAAAAGAGAAATCAACCAGAATGTGCTCTCTTACCTCAAAATCTGGGGATGTTCAGATGAAAGAAGAGAGGGTGATGAGGGAACAATTTAGGCTGACAGAATAGAATGACGGCACTTTGCTTGTCTCGGTCTGTTATTCATTTTTCTCTAAATTAATTCCCATCTGTGTTTTTCTTTTATATTGACAAATGGTTTTTGATGGAAAAAAATATTTACAGCTATTTTTCAATCTTTTTAAATTTAGGACCTTAAAGATCTGATGAGAAATGCTGGTGAGGTGACTTATGCAGATGCTCACAAAAAAACTCGAAATGAAGCGTATGTTTATTTATTTAACTTTTCATTCAATTAACTTTTAGAGTCATATGTTTTGCTTCGCATGAGGATCTTCGACGGGCTCTCGATCGTTACCAAGGTTCGTTTGAGAGTAGGAGGGCAAACACGGTTTTTTAGCCTCCATTTCCTTATGCATTCGGCAATTTTATTGTAATATTTTTACAGGTAAAGATATAAATGGTCGTCGTATAAAATTAGTCGACGATTCTGATGGCTATGGTGGTGGTGGTGGTGGAGGGGGTCGTCGCAGGTAACATTAAATTTTAATTTTTCAATTTTAATCTGAAAGTTTCAGTCGCTCTCGCTCACGTAGCCGTTCTGCTTATCGTTCACGTAGCCGCTCTCCACCATCTCGTTCGGCTTCTCCAGGTTGATTTATTTTTTAAACTCGAAACTTTATATATTTTTATTATTCAGCGGAAAATGGACGTTCTCGATCACGCACTCGTTCACGTAGTCGTTCTCTTTCAAGTGCGTCAAAGAAGAGTGGCTCTCCAAGAATGTAAAACAATGACAAACATTTTTAAATGAATTGAGTTAAAAATTCTTTTGTTGAATTCAAATATTTTGTAAAAGAGGCAAAGTATTTGAAAACTTATCTTTCTTTTTCTATTTTTAAAATTAAATTTTTTTTTCTTTGAAGTATATTAAGTTTTTAAATACTTTTCATTTACATATGCCTCTAATATTTGAATCTAGCATTCTTCCGTATTTTTCTGAAAGACTTGTTTTGGTATTTTTCATTTATTTGTTTCTTTTAAATTAAATTGAGCCGAGCATTTATTTTGTTTAGCTTTTTGTTTTATTCGTTAACTAACGATTGTATTTTTTTCAAATTTAATTTTTGCGTTTATAAAATTTACGGACAAAAGTTTTGCGGACTTTCATTTTATTCTAAATTTGTAATTTATGGAATGTCAAAATTCGACGAAACAATTCAGCAGAAGCAAATAAATCTTCAAGTTGGACGAATAATTCAATTGGATGCAAAAATTCTTGACGATGCATTAATTTCTGCATTTCGGGTGGCCTTGAGAGACGGGCTGAGAGATGGGGAAATTTGTTTACCTTTTTCAAATTGCTTATCTGATTTTCTTGGAACACACAAGGATTCTTTGCTTAAATTATTCTATCATCTGATGCATGCATTTACAGGTTTTTTAATGCATTTACTGGGGAGTTGGACTCGGTTCTGTCATTTTCGCATCCGTCGCTTCCAACTGCACAAACAAATTTTTAGAAAGGAGCCATGTAACTGTTTAAAGAAATTATTTTCCGTTTCACACTCACAAAACTATCCCATATTTAAATTTATTTTTATAATTTCAAGGACAAAGTCCGGGCCAACGTCTTATGAATATACGATATGGTAATTTTACAAAATTAAAAGGGTTGCTCAACTATACTTTCTGCATTTTATTACCAACAATTTCAAATTCTTTATTTCGACCTTTGCCTTCATATCTTCGGCATAAAAGATTGTTTATTAGAAGGATTATTGTTGCTTTTAAAATTTTTGATTTTTGTTACTTCCTTTATTTCCTCAAATTTGGTGGACCATCGCATCCTATAGAGGCGTTGCTTCGACTTAAACCTGTTTACGATAAAACTCCAAGAATTGGTAAGACTAGGTTTTTTATACTAAAAAATCCCTGACAGACTTTCTTTAAGTAGAGAAACGCTTCGGGTACTCACCATTTAAACAAAAATGGCTATTGCTAACAGTCGTTCAAATCACCAGAATTTTTCTTTAATTGAATTTTTCGGGGGATTTCCTGCATCCTTCATATTTTTTATTAACTTTATTTTTCAGGTCAAATCAATTACGGAGCACTAAATCGCGAATTGTTTGGCCATTCATTTGCTTACATTTTAATTTTGCTTATACCTCTATGGACTCGCCTATTTAATTTTTTAAAGACAGCGATATTTAAAGAGGAGGATATTAAGAGTAATTCTGATGTCAATGATCGGCTAGTCTGTACAAAATGTTTAAAAACTCCAATTTGTGCTATTAGAGCAAGAAAAAATAATTTAGCTAGTCAATGGAGGATTTATTGTTTCTTTTGTTTTACAAGCATTCAAGGAATAGAAAGGAAGGATTGGGAAGTTGAACAGCTTACAAGTGACAATATGTGATCTCTGATGAAAAAAGTATTTTTTTTTTAATTTTTATTTTCTTCTCCAATGTTGTTAATTCTGCTTGTATATTCTTTTTATGATTTACGACATATCGGGCTAACTCACGGATCGAACAATTGACGGAACGACAAGTCACGGAACGACCAACTCACGGAATGTCCGAAACACGGAATATTTTAAAAATCCTAATTTTTTTTGAAAAATCTGTTGTGAATATTTTTAAAAAATTCTGAATAATTCTGATTTCTAAAAATATTCAGTGGTTTGGTAATCCCTGTATTCATCTTTCCGTGACTTGTCTGTTCCGTGATTTGGAATTCCCCGAGTTTACCCCCACACGATTTACAAATTTTTATTTTTTAAAATAATTTTATAGATTTTTATAAATTTCATAAATTCAAATTTATATTTGATTTTTATTTGTAATTATTCAAATTATTGGTACTTTTCCGTTCTGCCACACCCCCCTAAATTAATGCTCAAAATGTCATATATTGGGTAAAAAAAGGTGCTGAGTCCAACGGTACCACTCTTTTTCCCCGGAGATGCCTTTGGACTGAAATATTATGCTCGAAATGGTCAAAAACCATAGCTCAATTTTGGGATAAAAAATTCAAATATGCAAATAATAACTCATTCGAAAGAGCTCGTGGAGCTGAGTCGAAAGAAACCAAAATCAACGAAATCTGATTTGATTTGACCGAGATACAGGTCCCTGAAAATTAAAGAACCACACACATTTTTGTATCGTAACTTGGTCCAAACTTGTTAGACCGCGGTGATTTTGATGTCTTTCGACTCAGCTCCATGAGCTCTTTCGAATGAGGTATTATTTGCATATTCAAATTTTCTATCCCAAAATTGAGCTTACTCCCCCCTATGGTTTTTGACCATTTCGAGCAAAATATTTCGCTCCAAAGGCATCTCCGGGGAAAAAGAGTGGTACCGTGGACTCAGCACCTTTTTTTACCCTATATATGACATTTTGAGCATTAATTTAGGGGGGTGTGGCAGAACGGAAAAGTACCAAATTATTTTTATTTTCATTAAAAACTTCATTTCTTATTTTTTATATTTTTAAATGGAAACACCTAGAAAAATTGCGCAAAATGTAAAAAACAAAACTCGAAAAATGGATTCAAATGAAATTATGCAAAGACGTCAGAAGAGACTGGCCAGTGCAGAATCATCTAATAATTTGCCCAAAATTAATTTGAATCTTTCAAAAGAGGAAATGTGTATGTTATTTGTTAATTTTTGAATTTGACGTAAGGACTGTTGTTACACGGGGTACGGCCCAAGTAGGCGCGGGCCATGACGTCGCAAAGCCATAACTTGCTTCAAGATTTTCGAATCTTACCAAATCTAGTATTCAACGATACCTCTCATTGAGCTAAAGAGATTGGTACCAAAATTGATAAGGGTCAGAAATTTTTCAGCAAGTTACTTGGGCGTGTCCAAGTAACTTGCATTATAATAACAGTCTAGATCCTGTGTTTGCAAACTCAAAAACTTGCATTAGTAGGGGGAGGTGGTATATGATTGGATGCTTAAAACATACTATTTTTAGTTTCAATTACAGTTTAGGAGTTCGTTAATGTCCTGTTAAATTATTTTACTTTATAAACTAAAATTCAAATTTTATTTTTAGTAACCAGACTTAAAAATTTAATTGGACTAACTTGTACCACAAATACTGAGAAATTCCACCTTTTACGTAGAAGAGATGAATTTCTTTCAAAGTTGGTCAATTTGGATTCCAAGCCAGGAAATAATAAATTTATCAAGGTTTTTGATCTTTTTTGGAATAATTTTATTTTTTAATAATTTAGGGAACATGTCAGGATATGTGTCCAGAAAAAGAACGTTATATGCGAGATGTAAAGAAAAGTCTACATTTTTATGAATGTGATGCTGAAGGACGAATTGTTCACGAAAAGATGGTTAAGGATTATAGTCGATCGGCAGCTGATCAGGTTAATCTTTAAAATATTTGAGTACTTAACGGGCGGAAGGCTTATACCTCTCTCAAAGGAATTGTTTTTCATTATCTTGGGATTAAGCTTCAATCAAAATTTCTTTTTTTTATCTTATTGTTAGGATTTTAGTGGAGTTCAATTTCCTTTTATTTTCTCTTGGTCATGATATCGCTTCAAGAAGGCTATTCTACATATATTCTTTCAAATTTTTAATTTTAGGATATGCCTTTACCACACGAACTTAGACCTCTAGAAGTTCTTCAAACAACGATGGATTATTTAATTTTTAACATTTCAAGTGAAATTCCGACAACAAAAAATGAATTAATACGTTGGTGTGACTTTTTATGGTCAAGAACTAGAGCTATTCGAAAAGTATTTTTTATTTTTAATTTTTTTAAAATTTTCCATCTTTAATCAGGATATAACTCAACAAATGCTGCAAAGCGAAATGGCTGTTGATTTAGTCGAAAAATGTGCACGTTTACATATTTTTTCTGCTTTCAAATTGATTTCATTGGGCACAGAACATGTAAATCAAGAAATAAATTCTGGTAAATTTTTCTTTCATGGGAAAAATCGGTGAACTGAAATTCGGTTTAAACTTAGTTCACGACCGTGAACTGGGTTTAAACCGAATTTGATCGGTTATAACTTTTTAATGACTGATCAGATTTGATCTATCCTATTAGAGAAGATATACAGGTTATTGAGGGCTTTCGATTTATATAAAATTCATTTGTATTGGATTAAGCATTAAAAAGTTAAAGCGGATCAAAGCCGGCTGCCACTCAGTTTGCGGTTACATAACGGAGAAGTACCGGAAAGTCTATAAAAAATTTTAACTAGGTTTTATAGGAGTTTCCTATTTTTTCTTTCTTTGAGCTTTTTTAGATTCTAATGTTGAAAAAAATTGTATTTTTTTATGACTCCTGTCCTTTTTATTTTTTACTTACAATAGTGAAATTTCTTTATTGACTGACTTAAATTCACGAAAAAATATTTTTTTCAATTACTGGGTTTGTTAAACTTTTTTTAAAATTAATTTAGAAATGTCCTCTTTAAACGCCGCTAATGATCATCCCGCAATGGCAATAGCGGCATATAATACATGTAGCCATACATTACGACAGATGTATGATGATTTGGCCAAAATGCAAAGATCTTGTCTTAATGAACCAGAATTTCGTTCTTATGATATTATTCTAAATTTGACTGATTTTAATGTTTACAGGTTTTTTTAATTTTTAAAATTTATTAAAATTTACTTTTTTCTAGTCAAGTACTTTCTTATCGAAAATCTGTTAGAGAATCCAAAGAGGTACAATTAGCTTTGAATTTGGCGAGTGCTCTTCAAAACAATAATTATATTTTATTCTTCCGTCTTGTTAAAAATCATGCCACATTTCTTCAGGTTGGGATTTTTATAGTATGTACTTCTTGATCCTTCGGATTTTTGCTTTTACCGAAAATTGACTACTATTTTATGTGTAAAACATTCATTTTTTGTCTTTAGAAACCCTAACTTAAAATTTATGATTGGTTTAGACAACATTTTGAGGGTTATCTATTGAAAATTTTACTTTTAAAATGTTCGGTTCTTTGTCTTATTTGTTTTTTTTTATTTTTTCAGGCTTGTCTCTGTTACCAATTTTTTGCTTCAATACGCTCTTCTGGCCTAAAAGTTATTTGTATGGCTTTTAACTCATTTCCTCTTGAGAAATTTATTGAGAGTTTGGCATTTGATTCTACAGAACAAGCTCTGTCATTTATGAAAGTTTTTGGTGTTGAATTGGACAGAGTAGATCCCAATTTAATCAACACTCGGGATGGAAAGAATATTTTCTTACAAAGCACTGAAATGCCCAAACCAAATTTAATTCCACAAATGGGATGTAAATGGATTGAAGAAAAATCTATTCATTTAACAGTTCCTCAGGTTTTCTTTAAATTTTTTAAAATTAATTTTTCTTCATTTTTTAAAGATTTTTTGTAATTGCCAAACACCTATTACTCCCCCAAAAACAACTCTTAGACATGTCAACAATTCTTTCTCAGCTTCAAATGTTTACGAAAAAGATCCAATTCTTGATGCGGTGCTTCGAGAACACAAAGTTGCCGTTAATTCGGTTAGCAAGAAAACACTTCCAATGAATTTTTCTTTTGCTCGGTATCTTTTGAAAATATTAATTTTTAATTTATTGTTTCTTTAACTCCTTCAAATTACCCCAAATTTTTTAATTCTCCGGATTTGCAAGAATTAAAAAGGTTACAACCCAAGGTATTACAGAGCTATAACCTCGTGTTTGAATTCGGAACGCCCTGGCCTGGTTCGAGGCACCTCAACGAGCCAGGGCTGAACTATACCAGGGCTCTTGGATTCGACATTTTTGAACGAAGTTTTATCTCTGCGGTACCTTAGACTTGTGATACCTTGGCCTGCTCCCAATTAAAAAATCTGATTCCTGTTCTCCTTTTAAATTATTAAATGTTAACTATTAGCTTTACTATTTTCTAAATTAAAAAATTCTTTTTCAGTGGAATTCAACCATTTAAAAGCTCCAAACAAAATTACCCTTTTTCTGCAATTCAATCTGATCATATTATTGCTAAAGTCTGTAACAGGCTATTAATTAAAATATCTCAATCTTCAATTGAAAATTATCGACAACTTAAATTGGCACAAATTCAAAGAAATTTATTTTCAATAAAATTGAGACGAGCTTTGAAACATTGGATAAATTTTACAAAAATTCGAAAATGTGAAAAATTAACAAAAAATTTGGTTATTAATATTGCCAATTCAACGCTTTCTTTTATTGTTAATTCAAATCTGGAACGTTTATCTGCAGGGATACTTAGGTATTTATTTATTTTGTAGAGATTTAATTTCAAAATTTGTGTTGATTTCACCCCGAAAATATTTTTATGAGATTGTACAAAAATTCTTCCCGAAAAACTCTCAAAGTTGTCAATAAATCGATAATTACTTTAGGGCGATCAATCGATCTGTGCCAAAATTCTTTAAATTAATTATGCAATATTATTATTTAAATATTATTGGATGATTCATTAATTAACTGAAAAATTTTGTATTAATAAATGAAAGAGATAAAAATGAGAGTGAATATAAGTATAGGCTTTTTTTTCTAAATGCTAGATCAAAAATATTTATTTGAAAAAAATTTTTTATACCGTTAGATTTAGCTTATTTTTGGACCAGTAATATTTTAATTTACAAAATATTTGAGCTTGTGGTTTTTATTTTTTTTAATTTTTAAGAGAAATCGTCGAACAGTCAAAAAATAGACTGGCAAACGAAATTGCTACAATTCAAGGAGATTTACTTTTAGAAAAAGTTTTGTCAGAACAACTTTCTTCTATTGTAACTCGTGTTAGAGCAAGTCAAGTTCGTGATATTGAAGATCGTTTAAAACAAATTGGACAAAATTTACATTTAATTTGGCAAAGACAATTTACTAATCATTGGTTAGCTAAAACAAGAAGAAATAGGCTTATTAGAAGCATTACTTTTCTTTCGACTGGTTTGTTTTTCTCTAAATTTTCTGCTTATTTTCTGGGATTTTTCTTTCAAAGAGGGAACATTCCGAACTGTATGTAAAAATTTTGTATTATTTGCACCATCTTTTAGAGCAGGGTCGGAAACCTATCGGCCATTTTTCGAAAACCTATCTTTATATTTTTGAAAATCTCAAAAAGAGACTTCTCCATTGATGGGGTTCCAATACCTTTGAGGTCCTAAATTCGAACATTTCCCACGGAACCAAAATTTCGATGCATTAGAAATTAATTTTAGTTTATTGGATCAGCTTAAAATAAGTTTTATTTTTCTAGAATCCCCTTCATCCTCCACTCAATTTATTGACACAAACTCAAGAAGATTTTTCCATCCCAGAATAAAAACAATTTCAACCGAAAAATTGCGTGAAATGGCTGAAGAAAAAATTAAAATTAATGAACAAAAAAGACAAGAAGAAGAAGAATTGAATATTAATAATGAGAATGGATTTACAATTGTTAATGGATTTTCTCCAGCAGAAAATAATGGAAAAAGAGCTACTGCAGTTTCTATTAGGGATGAAATACTTGATGGTATATCTTTCCAAAATGGTGAGTTGTGTAATTTTTACAATTTTTTTTTCAAACCTGTCAGGTTAAAAAGGATTAAAAAAATTTTATTGTGTCGAATATGGGAAGAGAGAACTTGATTTTAGACTAACCTCACTTTATTATTCATTTTTTTTCTGTTCCATGTCGCCTCGAGTGGTTAAATTAATTGAAATACTGATGGAATGGGTTAATTATTCAAATTAATATTTAACCCTTTATGATTCACCTTTCCTGTCCTCATATCTTTTTGAGGGTGTTAAAATTAGACGAAATTAAAATATTAAAAAATGCATTAATATTATTAAATTTCAGAGAATGGAACACAAGGAGGAGGAGGAGGATTTTTTGCCGAATCAACATCCAAATTAAATCTTTTCAAACCTGGCATGACTAAAAATGCGGAAAACTCACAAAAATTGGTTGAAGAAATGTTAAAGAAGAAAAGGAGAATTGATGATAGGAGAAGGGAAACGAATGTGGGTGATGATTTTGATAATGATGATGTTATTATTAACTTTCAGAGCTTTCCAACAACCTCTGAATTAAAACGGAGGAGGTTGATTTAAATTAATTTTATATGTATTAATTATTAATTGAAAATCTCTATATAATGGACTTAAATTTCGGTTAAAATTATGCCTATTAGCCTTGCCAACTAGAAGGCTTATTGTTCACACCGAACTTTCTGCTAAACTTTTTTTAAGCAAACTGATAACTTTTCTTTCCTTCAGTTAGAAAAGTTCGGGTTTTCAGGGTTCGGTTCTGGAACATACGAAATTGTAATAATTTTATTATAAAGAGGTTAATTAACATATCGTTATATACGAGGTTAAAAACTATTATTTTTGATCTTTTTGCATTTTTTATTGTTTTGTTTATTCAAACACTTAAAAACAATTTAATTATCCAAACTTTTAAAATTAAATATATTTTTATTTTATAAATTAAGAGAGATCTATTTTCTGTATAGATTTTTTTAAATTTAATTAAGTTTCCTTTCCTCTAGCCAATCCTCTAATTTGATTGGCTGCACTCCCTCGAAGTATCCATGCAAGCGAGCGAAGCGAAATTCCTCTACGGCATATTTCACGTGGAATATTTACCTTTTTTTATTTTTTAAAATTAAAAATTTAAATTAAAAAATTAACCCACCGGAATGACTCTTTTGCGAGTATTCCTGTTTAAGGGGAAAGAGAGAAAATTAATTTTTTGGGTAAAAAAGTAAAGGAAACAAACGTCTCAATTAATCTCAGAACCATTTTGTCTGTCTTTGTTGAATACCCACGTTTCCAATTTGCAGGGTTATTGCCAAAGACAGGAACAAATAAAGACCTTTTTTAAATTAAATATTTTGCCAATTTTTATTTTTAAATAACTTTTCTGTCCCCAACATTGTTGTGTAGAGCCCACAATTTCCTTCATCCTTTACATATTTTTCTTCGTCCCCTATTGGAAGTTCTAATACAGCAACCTTAATTTTTAGAAAGTCATTTAATATTTTTGTACAGGCTTGAGTTTGATATGTCTTAATGTATAACCAGGGAGTGTTGTAAGAATGGGAACATGTCCAAAGTTCAATCAAAAATATAATAAGCTTATCTCTTGCACTCAAGAAAATTGGTCAAACCCATCCCAAAAATTACAAAGATTAGATGGATTGATTCCAAGAGCTCCCAGAACGCTCAGGATAAATATTATCCGAAAAACCTTCCAATGCCTGACTGAAAATTTTTATTTTTGCTTATCAAATGAGGGGATTATTTACTCAATGCCTGTAATTTATATATTCCCCCCTTTTTTAAAAATTCACACATCTTTCTTTTCCCGTTTGTAAAGTTCAGAAATAGTCCTCGATTTAGTTACTGGATCCAAACCAGATATAATTAAAAGTCCATCATCAGCAAAAGCGAGAACATCATCCAATCTTAAATTTTTTCTGCCGGTGAAGGATGTTGGGGAAGGAACAATTACAACCTTTAATGAATAATTTTTGCATTTATTTGAAGGAGAGAGACCTTATTGAAAGCATTTTGTAGTTTAAGTGTTAAGCTCCATTCAGGCAGCTTCTCCATATTTGTAATTAAGGCAGTCTTTTAAAGGAGAAAAATATTTTTATTTTTTATTATCTTTAAAATTTAATTAATTCTCCATAGCACTCAATATAACACAAGTTTTAATATAAGGTTAGACTGAATGGGGAAATAATTTAGACAAGCTTCCCAAAATTGAATTAATTTCGTTATGAGATAAGCAGTTCTGACCAGAGGTGGGCGCAAGAACTCAAAAAACGCAAGACGCAAAACGCAATGCGCCCACCCCTGGTTCTGACTGTAACTCAATCTGAAAGTTCGAAGGATCCAAGAATTTAGAAATTATAGAGGATTTAGAAATTATAGATCTAACGGATAAATGAGAGAATTCCTTTCTAAAATACCCCAACACTAATTTAAAAATAAATTTAAAAAAATACATTAGAAATAAGTGCTCTATTCTTTCCATTGTCAACAACATCCCTTTAACAACATTTGTAAAAATAATTTTTCAATTATTCAAAAAATCTAAATTTTTGGCTACCTTCCAGAAAGAACAACTTCAGGTTCTCTTCTTTGAAGTTTAATTCGATTTTTCATTAAAAAACGATTTATACTGTCATCGACTTGTTTGGAGGCGATTGGGGCCCATTCAGCATTTCTTTGGTTAAAATTATTTGGCAAGTTAAAAAATTATTTTTAATTTAAAAATTTTTCTACCTGTAAATAAATTTTATTTGTTTCAAACAACCCATTGGGGCAAAATCACGTAAATTGATATCATAAATATTCCCTTCTATAATAATACAGGTGATACTATTAAACTTAAAAACCTCGATTTTACGTATACATTTGGGGATAAAAATTGTATGTATTGCAAGGAAGGAAAGAAGGCATATCTGACAAGATAACGCTTACTAGAACAAGGTTTATTAAAAGGTGTGAAGGGAGCGTTACGGTAGCTCAATCGGTTTAGCAGCTATACGTTGTGGACGAAATCCAGGCTGGAGGTCACGTGATTGATGCCTTCCCGATGCTTTACCAATTTCTTACTGCACAGCAGAGGTCAATCGGAAATGACGAAAGTGCCGGAAAATCGGAAATTTTTCCGAAATTTCGGAAATCGGGATGAAAAAACGTTGGAAATCAGAATTCCGATCAACCTCTGCTGAACAGATGGGGGTGTACATAAAATCGAGGTCATCTCTTATAAGCCCTCCTACCTAATAGCAGAGTTGGAGGTAAATGTTCTCTCAACATTTTCGTTCTTCCATCTAATAAAGGCATTGTATGCCTATCTGCTATTAATATAGCTGTTTCATATTCTTTTAAAAATTAATTTAAATATACAGTAGTCGACAAAAAGATAGGGACAAACGCATGTAAAATGAAAATCACCTATTTTCTCAGCTAAAAATCGATTTCAGGAAAAATTTTTTGTTTGATTAAATACGCCATTTAATGCTCTATTTAATAAGTATAAGATCTGGCGGATTACTATTTTTTGATATACTGAAATAATTTAAATAAAAAAGTACTGCAAATTTTAGCCCGACAAAAAGATAGGGACAAGTCTTGTAACTAAGTAGTCACCCAACCAATAAATTTACAAAAATTCGTGCAAACATAATGATCGATACTAAGATAAAATAAAAAGGAACTAGGCCCGTAGATCATTTCAATGTCGAGATCTCGATACCCCAAAAATCAACGTAAAACAGGGGTAAGCAACTTCAAAAAATATTTTCGACCCCTTATGGATTTTTTAAAATTTTTATTTTGAGCCTATTCGATAGCTCTTGAAATTTGCTATAAACTAGCCAAATTTCATTTTTCAGAAAAAAATACTTCGTTAGTTGCAGAGGCGAATGTTACAAAAAGCAACAAACACCCCATAAATTCCCACAAAAATGGCGTTTTGAAGAATCGTCGTCCTTTATCTCGGGAGTGAAATTTTTTTGAAAAATGAAATTTGTCACGTTTATAGCACAATTAAAGAACTATCGAATAAGCCTAAAATGAAAATTTAAAACAATCAATAAGGGGTCCGAAAAAAATTTTGAAGTCGAAAAACCCTATTTTACGTTGATTTTTGGGGTATCTAGATCTCGACAACGAAATGAGATATGGACCCAGTTCTCTTTTATTTCTTCTTATTATCGATCAATATGCTTACAATAAATTTTGTAGATTTTTCGCTTCTATGAGAACTTAGTTACAAGACTTGTCCCTATCTTTTTGTCGCGCTTAAAATAGCATACCTTTAGTTTTTCAATAAGGGTTGAATTTTATAAAAAATTAAACAGGCAAATTTTCTACTCATTAAATAGAGCATTAAATCTAGTATTTAATCAATCAAAAAATTTTTTCTAAGATCGATTTTTAACCGAAAAAAATAGGTGATTTTCATTTTGCTTGCGTTTGTCCCTATCTTTTTGTCGACTACTGTAATTTTTAAATACAAAATACCATTTAATATTTTTACAAGTTTTATTTGAAATTCCACAATTGAAACAAAATCGTCTGCATAATTGACATCCCTCAAAAAAGTTTTCATTTTATATAAATATTTCAATTTATAAACCCCTCCGTATACTTCTAACTACAGTAATTAATAAGTAAATAATAAGAAGTCGAACCGAGACGAGACTATAGGTCATTGGATTTTTGATCGATCACTAGATTTCAGTCTTTACCAGTGCCGGGTATCACTGGGGGTATTCTGAGAGCTAGTTCTGGTAGCTCTAGAATCTTTATATCTTTTTTATATCCTTTATATTTAATTTTTTGCAATTCCTAACTCAAATACATGCCGACTTGGGATAATAAAATAAGCAAGAATATCTCCCCATACCATATCGAAGGTGCAGCAAGAACAATAAGACTTCTATTTTCATAGGGTAATTTTAATGGATTTGAATTTATTGAAGGAAAAAAATTAAATAAAAAAATAATAAAAAATATTTTGGACATTTTTTGGGAGAAAATTAGAAGGGAAAGAAAGTTTTGTGGATAAGGAAACAAAAAGGAAAATGATTATTAGCACAGGTTTTTGAATGATTATAGTTAACAGTTAACAGCAACTTTCCCCCTTCCTTTCCCCTTCCTTTTAGCGGCCACTCTCGCCAGGCTGATTATTTGGAAAAAACAGGAGTTGATTTTTTGTTTTTTGTTCTTCCTTTGCTCTTTCACACAACTGGCCGATTACTAGCTGATTAAGGAAATTAAAAAAGAGAAAAGTTGCGCGGCCTCGGAGAGATATAATAATAAAAATAAAATAATGGCCTCGGAGAGCCATTTTAATTGTTTCCCACGATTATTTTTTTTTGAAAGAGAAAAGGATAAGAGAAAAGATAAGAAGCAGTCCAAGGGATGAAGATGCAATAGTCACGGATGTTCCATTTGATTGTAAAGCTGATTTGGGGAGAGGGGAAGAAGGAAGGGACGGAGGGGAAGAAGGAAGAATGGGAGAGAAGGAACATGTGATGTGACGCGATAATTGCAATCAAGAGACTTGATTGATATATGTAGTTTTTTACAAAAAAGAAGAAAGAAGGAAATGATGATGTGATCATTTCGGCATTCGAAGAAAAAACAAAAAAAACAAATGTGCAACAACTTGTTGACAAACAGGAAAAGAAGTATTGAAAAGATAAAGGAAGATGATTTTTTATAAAAAGAGGAGAAAATGACGAGAGACTTGATTATGTACTAATTACATAAAGGAAACTGTTGCGCGATCCTTCTTTTTTCAATAACAGGATAGACAAAAAATAATTTAAAATTGTGAATTTTGTTAAAAAGGATAACCGATTAAATGTGTATCTTCTTCCTAGTGTTCCGTTAGAAATTAACCCTAAAAGAATGAACAAATATTTTGTTAAAAGGTGCAGGATATCGGAACGGTCGGAAATAGAAATTCCGACCGACCTCTGTTGGTGATCACGGCACAGACTATTTAAAAATAATCTTTACTTTATTAATATTTCTCGTTGAATAAGCTACAGGGAATCAGGGGTGGGCGCATTGCGTTTTGCGTTTTGCGTTATTTGCGTTAAATTTTGGCCTTTTTTTGCGTTTTGCGTTTTGCGTTAATTTCGATGAAATTAACGCAAAAAATATACACAATCTGAGGACAAAATTGGAGAAATTTGGCTTCTTGGCCTTCCAAAATTTTGAAAATTTTCGCCTGCGGCGCTGAAAAAAGAAGAAATTCGGCCTTCTGGCCTTCCAAAATTCTCAAAATTTTCGCCTGCGGCGCTGGAAATGCAAGAGGGATAAAGTGACTAACAAATAAGTGGAAATTATCGGCGGATTTGAAGGGATAGAAGACTATCGGTCGATGGGATTAAGTTGGATTTAAAAAGAAATCGGGGGTTTGTAGTGATATCCTGCTATATCTCTTCAACCCCTGATACCTACTATATGCTCAAATCCCTATTATCCTTCTAATCTAAGGGCAAAAATTGAAGAAATCTTGCTTCTGGCTTTCCAAAATTCTCGAAATTTTTTCTGCGGCGCTATAAGTAGGGTATTTAAATATCAAGGAACGGCTCAGAAAAATATCGGTTCAGTATCTGGAGCTCAGATCTCAAGTTATTCTCCAAATCAACTCATATCCCCGAAGTCAATTTATAAATACTGATAGCCCTTTATCCTTCGTTATCTTCCTAACGAACCCGACATCCTTAGTAATCCCATGGTATCTTTTTTAATCTCCTTGATCGCTCCAGATTACATGATAATCTCCGTAATCCCCGCCACTTCGTTAAACCCCTTGATTCCTCTAAATACTCTGATATCCTTCATAATCCCTCTAAATCCTCTATATCTTTTCAAAACATTACTCATCAAACTTACATGTATCACAAAATCAATTAGGACTTGCTGACTTATAGTAATACACCCATTTTTAACTGAAAAATGTCTAAAACTTAATTTAAAAATTTTTTTCCCTATTTTGCGTTCTTGCGTTTTGCGTTTTGCGTCTTGCGTTATTTGCGTTAAATTTTGGCCTTGCGTTGCGTTTTGCGTCTTGCGTTTTTTGAGATTGTCTCTTGCGCCCACCCCTGCAGGGAATTAGTGTGAAATTGAGAAAGGGAGAAAGTCTAGATATTCTGTACATATAAAAGGAAAAACATGGGGAAGAACAAAGGTGAATCATAAGCCTTGGTTTATCCGAGAGCTTTAACCAGTCCCTTAACATATCACCTTTCTTTAGAATCCGGTCCCGAGTTGGAGAGATTCGCTATATTTATTACCGGATATATTATTTATTTACTCGAACTTGGACCCGGGCCGGGCCTAGGTTTTTCAGATGAGACCTGGGCCGGGCTTCCGGGCTAAAAACCTCGAAAACCCGGTTTTTATCAAAATACCCGGTTTCCGGGCTACAGGGCCAGGAAAACCCGGTCCCGGCCCGGGTTCGAACTCTCTTTAACCAATCCCTAACATATCCCCGTCAATTAAAATCCGGTCCCGAGGATGAAGAGTAGAGAGATTTGACTGTATTTGGTGACGGATGAATTTACATATCTGCGATAACTCGAGGGTTAAATATATGGGAAGGTTGAGTATGTAGTATTTAAATCGACGTGAAAAGTCGGTGAATAAAACATTCGGTGAATTTTATCTGAAAATAATATTTTAAAAACAAACCCCAATTAGATACTCTAATGTCCCGTCTGTTGAAAAAAGATGTGTGTCTGACTGAAACAAAAGAAATATTTGTTATTAAATTTTTAATTTACTTATTTTAATTTTATTTATTTATTTATTCAACATATATTTCTTCAAGTATTTAAATTAATGACGTCATAAATTAAATTAAATGTGTGAGAATTATTCAGAACAACAACTACCAGAAACAAGCTTTTGGTAAATTTTAAAAATTAATTTATTTTTATTTTTCCTTTAAAAAATTGAGTAATCGTTAACAATCAAAAAATATTTTCTTTCAATCAATAAAAAGCAAAAAATAAAATAAAAATATTTTTTAGACATCACATGATTTTTTTGTTTATTTTGTTTAGGCTGTCAGTTAATTTTTAAATAACATTAGAGTCTCGGGGTTCGAGTTGAAATATTAATTTTTCAGCAACTTTTTTCTCATTTTAATTATAGAAACTAAGTTAAAAGCTGGAAAAGGAGAGGGGAAATGAATTCTTTGGACTTTCTGTAATGAGGATCCAATGAGAACATTTTTAAGATTTTTGAGGATGTCTTGCCTTTGAATGTAGAATATTACTAGATAGAGGATTAAATCGGAAGTGAAGCCCCTAGAATTTTTTAAAAATAAAATATTCGGGATTTCTATTATTCAATGGTAGGGTTGTCGGTTCTTGGAAAATCTTCGGATATCCGGAACCGAACCGAAGAACCGAAAAATCATCGGTTCTTCGTTCGGTTCGGTCCAGAACCGACAACTCTATTCAATGGAGAAAGCTTTCTATAATTTAACGAAAATTCTAATTTTATTTTCCCAAAAATATTCGAGACTCAAATGGACAGTTAACACCAACCTTTTAAATTTCCTCCAGTTAACCCCCTTCCATAATTGTTTTAACGATTACTCTTTCCTTTTTTATTTTAAAATTTTTCCAAAAGTTATATTGAGGATTTGGTTAAACAACAAATAAATGAAGCAATTCAAGAATCTATTCCTCGTCTGTTAGAGTCTGAGAAAGGCGACAGAAAAAGTTTTTTCTAAAATTTTTTAAAAAATTTTCAAAAATTCCCCTTTCAGGCTTCTTTGCCAAAATAAAAACAATTTTATTACAAAAATTAAATTTCCGGTATGAATTGAGTATGCCAAATATTTTTATTTTTGTTTTATTCTTCTGGACTCTATTTTACACTTTTAGAAATTCCCGGTTGGTTTTTAATTAAAGGAAGGTTGGGTGCGAAATTTTGAGTGTCTGGTCTGTTTTTAGGGATATTTTGGAGAATTTTTTGTTTTTGAAAAGGTGGGGATCTTCTGTTGGTTCTAACCAATTTTTAAATTTTTTTAAATTAAAAAAAAATTTTTTTTAACCAAATTCTATAAGATTTTTTGTTGAAAAATAACCAAGTCAAAATCACGTTTACTCTCATTCATTTGCCTCTAACTTTTTTTAGAAATGAACGGACAGGGTTGGTCCAATTAGCCAAAATACTCCACACATTTAGAGCTTTCGAATGATATAAAATTTTTTTTTGATTTTTAAAAATTCTAAAAAAACTTCCAAAAAATTTCTACACACTCAAAATTCTCGCTCTCAACCGACCATTTTCTATTAAATTAATTTCTTCTCATTTTCTCAGATTTTTTGCAATTTCCTTTCCGGATAGAGAAGCTCCTTTACCTTCTCCATTTTTTAAAAATTCTGAAGGCCTTTTAAAAGACTTTTATGATGGAAATATTTCCGAATTTGAAACTTTGAGATTTAATGCTGAATTTACAATTGTGGTTAGTTGGAGAATGAAATTTGGGGAGAGGAGAAAAAAAAAGAAAAAAAATCTCAAATTTTCTCCACAAATTTGAGACTTTAATGGAAATGATGAATTAATTTTTAAAATTAATTTTTAGATGTTATATGCTCCGTGGGATTTTAGATGTAAATTATTTCGGTCTTCTTTTCTTTATGTTGCGGGTTTATTTAAAGAAATTAATGAGGTTTTTTTTATTTTAAATTTTTTTTTTATTTTTTTTTAAAATTTTTTGTCAATACTCAAGAGTACCCCTTATTTTTAAAAATTTACTAGTTTTCTGGTAAAAAATTTGTTTTATTGGGTTTTTTTAGTGTGCTGAACACGAAGTTACCTAGTTTGTTATTGGCTTTCCATTTTTTAGAGGTGTCTAAAAAAATTTTTAACTCAAGAATTTTTTAGAAAATTTTTTTAATAAAATTCATATTTTATTGAGAATACCCAGTCTTGAAATTAAAATTTAATTAATCTCCAGCATCCTCAAAAAGTGAAAAAATAATTTTTTTTTAAATTTTCTAAAACCAATTTATTTTTTTTTTAAATTCATTGGATTTTTTAGTAAAAAATTTGGGGTGCTTTTGAGTCTTGACAAAATTAATATTTAATTTATTTTTTTTAAAGATAAAATTTATTGCTGTAAATTGTAATTATTACAAAGGAAGATGTAGATCAATGTATAAATTATTGGCTTTCCCTGTTATTTTTGCCCAAACACAATATAATCAGCCAATTATTTTTAATCAATTTTTGTCTTCTGAAAGGCTTTACAGGTTTTTTTCAAAAAAATTTTTTTATTTTAAAATCGAGACCAGGCCCATAGCCAGGATTTTTTCGAGGGGGGGCAAGAGGGGAAAATTTTTCTGCGCCGAATTTATTTTTGATTTTTAGTGCCGCATGCGAAAATTTTGAGAATTTTAGAAGGGCTCACCCTACCTTTCCTGGCTACGGGCCTGATTGAGACTCTAATGTCTTTTGAATTTTTTTTAAATTTAATTTTTAGTTGGATAATTAATTTATTATTTCCATTTAATATTGTCAATTCTGAAGAGAATTTAAATAAATTAATTTTAAATTTTGAATTTGTTGTAATTGGACATTTCGTATTTAATGTAAATTTTTTTAAATTATTTTTTTACTTTAAATTTTATTTTCAAGTCAATATCCTTTCGATTACCTCGTTCTTACAGTGTTTTTGTTAATTCAATTTATTATTTAAATAATAGAAGGGCTTCTTTGGCTTTTGGGTATTTTTTTTTATTTTTTAATTTAAAATTTTTTTAAATTTTTATTTTATTTAAAATGAAAAATAATTTTTATTGAAAAATTATTTTTAAAATAATTTTAGAAATCGAACATTTTTTAAAATTTTTTTCCCTCCCCGTTTAACGTATTTTATAGAATTTAATTTAAATATAAATTTTTTTGGAAATTATTTATAGAAATTAATAATTTAATTGTTTATTTAATTTCTCTTTAAAAATATTTTTTTAATTAATTATTTTTAAATTCAAAATAAATTTTAAATCCAAAATCGAGACTCTAATGTCTCCTAATTAAAATTATATTTTACTTATTTATTTTCTCACTAATATAGTTGGTGGTGTAGCGGTTTAATTGTTGATTTTGTTGGACGAAAGGGAAAGGTTCGACACCTTTAATCCCCTTTTACTTGTTTTACTACTTTTTAATCTTAAATTAATTTAAAATTTAATTTCCTTTGACTTTCTTAATTAAAAATTTTTTTTTCAATTTTTTAAAAATTTTCTCTAGATTAATTTTAAACAAAACAATTGCTTCAACATTAAATATTTCTTTAAATCAATTAAATATTTATTCTTTAAATTCAAATAATTTATTAAAAATTGATTCATTTAAAATTAATTCAACACAAAAAACACAAAATGTAGTTGATTGGATAAATAAATGTTTGGGGAATTTTGAAGAAAAAATTGTTAAAGAAATTGAAATTGATGGTGAGTTTTTATTTTATTTTAAAATTTTTTTAGTTGTTGCTGGTTGTGTAGTGGTATAGGTTTTGAATTTGGGTTGAAACGGGGAAGGTTCGAACCCTTTTTGTGTTTTCTTTTATTCTTGGATTTTTTTTATGAATTTTGGATGAAATCTAATTAATTTTTATTTATTTTTTTAATATTCAAATAATTCTTTAAATTTTGTTTAAATATTTGGGAGGGATTTATTTAAAGTTTTGGGGGAATATTTATTTTGTTTAACTTTTTTAAATAATTTAGGCAATCTCCTTAGAAAATATTTTTAATATTTAAAAAATCAAAATAAAAATTTTCCTACATTTAAAAATAATTTAAAAATATTTTCTCTTTAATTCATTCAAAAAAAATTTCCAAATATTTTTTTTTAATTTTTTAGATGGTGAAAGTCCTTCAAAATCTGATGCTTTATTCAAAAAATTAAATTCTTCTACTTTTAACGTTGTTTTATTTACAAATTTAATTGGATTGAGACAGCAAAGTTCTTCTTTAATTGCTTTAAGAAATGTAAATTTTAATTAAAAATTGGGAAAATTTGGATTAATTAATTACTCATAAAATTGTCCATTTAATACCTAAAATCTTGAAATTCTATTTTTATATCCTCCATACTGTTTCCCACTTTTTCTAAAAATTTTAGACTTTTTGGGTCATCATCTGTCTAATTCTGGTCAAAAAAACTGCTAAAAATTGACATTTTCAATCAAAAATTCTGATTTTTTGACCAGAACTTCTGAAATATAAAATCAAAAATTCTGAAATTTTTGGAGATTTTAGATATTACATTTGAGGGCGTCTTTGTAAAATTTCACAATTTTAGGCTACCTTTAGGCTATTTTACAAGCGGTGGCGCCGTAGCGTTATCACGCCCGGACATACTTTTCAAAATTAATTTTAAAATTAATTTTTTTAATTTTTAGATAGCAAAAATAATTAATTATTGCCCTTCAGATTCAAATAAATTAGAATTAAATAGACTACCCCAATTTTCATCAAAAAATAATTTAAATAATTTTATACAAAAATATAGAAATTTGTGTTTAATTAAAGAAGAAAAGATTATTTTTTGTTGTAAATATTATCAAAATTTGTGTATAAATTATTCTTTTAAAGAATTTATTCAACAAATTTATGGAAGATTTAATTGTTTGAAAATATTTGAGATTTACCCTAAATGTAAATTTAAATATTTTATTTAAATCTCTCTGACTTGTCACACCCCCTTTAAATTATTGGGATAGGTGAAAGATTGAGAAAGGCAGATCCTCTTCGGATATCTGTATCCTAAATTCAAAACGAAAATTTCTGTGTATCCGGACTACTGTAAATAGACAGGTCAATCCTGTATATCGACACCTCTATACATAAATAATAGAAAAAATGTAATGGGATCATAAACTTTTCGATATATAGGGTTTTTCGATACAAAATAATTCGATACATGTAAAAGGTTTTGATATAAAGTTGTCGATATATAATGAGCGAACCGATAGAGAGAGGGAATGAAACTGAATAGGCATATTGCGCATAGGATTAGAAGGTCGGGATATACTAATCCGAAAATAGTAAGAATATTGGATCCCGATTTCTGGGGATTTTACAGGATCTGCCAACTCTAGTTGTGAATGCTTTTTTCGGATATTGAGCTCTGGACATTTACTGACAATTGAATAAAATAAAAAAATTTTATTTCAAAATTTATTTTAGATCTACTCAACTTCTATTGTCAATCATCTAAAAATATAAGAAAACACCAAAAAACTCAAAATTCAACGTCATTAATTAATTTACTTGGATTAAGGCAACAATATTTAAATTGTCAATTAATTAAATTATTAAAAAAGAAATTTAATTATTTATTTAAAAAAGAAGAAGAAATTTTGGAAGAAGAAAGAAATAATTTAAATTTATTATTTGGAATTAATTGTAAATTAAATAAAACTTTTGGATTTTTAACAATTGATAAAAGAATTGGAAATTATTTTATGAAAAAATGGGGAAATTATGAAGAAGATGAGAGGAAGGATTCTATAGCTATAATATCTAGAGAAGATGAAAAAATATTTTGGTTGAAAGGAGAAGGAAAGGAAGGATTAAATATGTTGGTATAGTTAATTTAGTATTTTAACGAGAACTGTTTTGAACTCGGAATCTATCAGAGCTGCCCGGAAACTAGGAATTTTGGAGCAGCTCTGATAGGGACTCATAAAACTTTCAAGCGCTCGGTGCTCCCCGGTTTGCCTGACACAACCCTCTCTTTACTTTTAAATTAACAAAGCTTTCCTCTATTTTCTATTGAGAATCATCTAATTATACTTAGAGACTGGACTATGAGGATCGTATGAGAATAGATATCTCGAGAAATATCTAACTCTCAATTCCCAAGTCCATTCCTGTTTTTTTGACAATTTTTGAATTTAAATTAAACTTTAAAATAATTTATTTTTTAATTTTTAGCAATTCAATTAGTCAATTTATTTCAAATTTTATCAATTCTTCACTTGAATGGATACCTAAAAACGAAGTTTTGCCTTCCTCAAAAATTAAAAACAAAAAAGCTTCAAGTGTTTTAAATAAATTAAATTTTGAATTATTTAATGAAGAAATTTTGAAAAAAGTTTTTTTAACTAAAAAATAAAAGAAAAATTTTTTTTCAAAGGAAAATCGTTCTTTTGATGCTGTTATATTCTTTTCTGGTGGAAATTGGCATGGACCTAGCAAAACAGTTTTACATTTATTTCATCAAGTCAAAATTTATTTTGACAATTTTGGACAGAATATTAAATTTTATTTGTAAGGGAAGGGGGATTTTAAAATAAATATTTATTCTAATAAGAGGACTACTAGAACGGAATTCTGGTAAACGTAGAAGAGAAGACCATCCCGGCTCTCTGAAACGAATCTATCCCCGTTTACTACCCAATAAGGTTGGCGGATCTGGATATCCGGAAAAAAGGCCGGATATCCGAAAATTTTCGGATATCGGATCTGGATATCTGAAGATTTCCAACTATCCGCCATCACTTTTAACTACCCAATAGCTCTAACTGACATAGATTTTCTGTATTCTGGGATGGTTGTGGATTTTTTAACCAAAATTAGGGAATTTATTCTGGTTATATATTCCTAGATTCTTTAAAATATTTTGGAGTATTTAATAAAATTTAGACTTAAATTGATTCTAATTTGATTTTTTAGATTCGATGCAGGCAAAAATTCTTTACCTTGGGCCTATAAATTTGACAGACTTCCAGTTGTTGGATTCTTTCCTTCTTTTATGTAATTTAAATTTTTACAATCAAAACTCATTTTTAAATATCTTTCATTTATGATATTTTAAATAAATCCACTAGGTGATTTGAAAATTTACCATTCCTCACCTAGTGGTTTTACAAATATTAAACCGAAATTTATTTTACATCTATAGAAAAATTTGGTACATAATAAAATTAAAGGCAGCAAAATCTCATTATACGATACTGATCGGGTTATAAAAAACTCTTCGGATAGAAAAAATTCGGGCCCGTTCCTATCATCGACCCAATTTAAGGGGAGCGCCAAGGTACCGCGGAGCTATAACTTTGTTCAGAATTGACCATGCCAGAGCGTCCCAGATTTAACAATTCTGCAAGGAGTTGCAGCTCTGCGATACCTTGGGGTGTACTTCAATTTAAGTTACGGTTTTTAAATTTAATTTTGGATTTAAAAATAAGGTTAATTAATTTTAAATATTCTTTTTAGTCCAAACGAGAGTAATTTATTTCCAAAAGAATTGGCTTTTACATTTCCAAATTTAATTGGCTTTTTACTTCCTCGTTTAAATAAATTATTTAAATTAAAAATAGCTTTTGAATTATGTTCAACAACAAATTATTGTTTAAATAAAAATGTGAAAAATATTGAGAATTTAATTTTAAATATTAAAAAAGATTTGAAATTATTTGGTAAATTGAAAAGAAGAAAACGAAGTTATTTAATTACAAAATATATTAAAAGGTAAATTAATTTTGAATATTTGGCAGCATTTAAGGCTGGCTTGGTAATGGATATGGATACAGGTAAGTTCAAAAATTCCTACGGATATTCGAATGTATCCACTAGAGATCGGTATTTTTAAAAATCCTGGATCTGCATCTAGAAAAAATCCAGGACGATCAAAAAATGCCTGGATCTGGCTTCTGGATCCAGGAAAAATCTAGACTGGATCCAAACCGATCTTTACTATCCGCCGTAAATATCCGGATATGGATACCAAAATCCATGTCCGTGACCAAATCTGATTTTAAAGTGTAAGAAAATAAAAAATTAATTATGTGGCATTAAAGTTCGATTTCTAACAAAATCCTTGATATTTTCCAAAATAATTTAAAGGGGTTTGTGCACAAACCCCGTCCCAAAAATTATAATAGGAATAACCGGTAAATCATAATATAGAAAAGACAAATATATTTAAATAATTACAAATTTGAATTTTTATATATTAAGCAAAAATGGATTAACCTTATTTTAATAAGATATGCCCAAATTTAGGATATATTTATATAAAAAGGTTGGTCATTAGTAGAGTCCGACATTTTAGGTTCCGACCTATTTTTTTTTGCAACCTTGTAATGTTGAGTAAAGCTCAAAAAACACTTATTTGGCACGGTACCATGCTCCTACATTGGACCTATTTGAGCCTAAAAAACCTATTTCGGCTTTTTTGGACCTAAAACCTATTTGAACCTATTTTGACCTTTTTAGGACCTATTTTAGGTTTTTTGAAAATTTTTATTAAAATTAGACTATTTTCTGTCAGTTTTTTTGTTAAAATAAAGTTAAATATTAAAGATTCTTTCAAAAATTATTATTAAACATGAATTTCGGGTAATCTGCACTTGATGGGCACACCCCAACCTACCGCGAGGCCAACCTACCGCCGAGCTATAACTTTGTTCAAAATTGTCGAATCCGGGACAACATGGTATGATTCGATGCGCCTCGACGAGCTGAGGGGGGGGGGCTTCCCGGATTACTAGGGCTTCCCGGATTCGACAGTTCTGAACGAAGTTATAGCTTGGCGGTAGGTTGGGTCGCGGTAGGTTGCCTGCTCCTGCACTTGACCGGGCAATTTTAGAGTTAGACAATAAACTGCGAGCGAGTAAATGTCCAACTCTCAACCCATATGTCCGCAAGCGTTGGTTTATATTCTAGAGGCGTTCGAGACCAAAATTTTCCCCGACCCAAGATCAAGACTAGACTACTTTTCCTCCCTTTCCTTTGCTGGTTGACAGCTTAGCGTGCTTTCTTTGGGGCTTAAGTCATGAAAAGGTCGGCTCAATGAGCTCACCAGAAGAGCTCGTTAAACCGAGTCGAATAACACCAAAATCAGCTCGATTGATAATTCTGAACAAAATTATAACTAAGTAAATCTTCGGTGGTGCTACGGGGGGTATCGAATAAGCGACAAGAGTTGTTTTTTAGCGAGATTTAAATGTACTCCCACGAATTTTATTCATTATTAAAAAAGGAAAAATTTTTTCACAAAATTTTTTTATTTTATCAGTATAGTAACCAAAATTTTGAACCTATTTGGTCAAAATTTGGACCTATTTTGGCCTTTTTCGGATTTTTTCGAGCCTATTTTGCCACTTTAAAAACCTAAAATAGGAACCTATTTCTCACTTTTTCGGACCTAAAATGTCGGACTCTAGTCATTAGATAGGAAATCGCTTAAGCGATGTCCTCAATTTAAGACATCCGTTTAATTAAATTTCCTTTTAAAATCGTCATTAACCTTCTTTTAATCATTTTTTTAAATTTTAGACTAAAATTCCAAAAATCAATGCTTGTACATTTAAAACAAATATTGTTACTTTCTTCATTACAACAAATTAATAATAATCGAGAAAGAGAATTAGATTTTAAAAGAAGAAAAAGGAAAATTTTATTTTTATTTTGGTTATTGGAAAGAAGATTTTAATTAAATTTAAATTAAAAATATTTATTTTTTGTTGTTATTGCTTTATTATTTTTTGTGAAAAATATTTTTTTAGTTAATTTTGGATGTTTTATTGGTTAACAAAAGGAAAATATTAAGAATTTTACTTAACATTATCTCTTGTTAAAAACATTTGAAAAAATTTCAGAATTTCTCTACAAATCCCATTTCCCCCCTCAAGTATTCCCAATCTTTTTCCAATCTCAACTTGCCATATATTTTTTTTCATTTTATCTAAAATATCCCCTAAATCTCCAAACGAGCTTTTTGGTTAGCCCGGCAATAATTTGAGTGTTTTATGGAAGTAGGGAACTAGCCTATTAAAAGATTAACTTTCCAATTTTTGCGAATCAAATTCAATTACTTCATTCCTGATCGAAACAAACTTTAGGAATTTTCGATTCTCCAGAGGCCTAATTTCCTGTTTTAAAAGTACATTTATACCTTTTATCAGAAAAATGTACTTAAAATTTTTAGCCATATTTTAACAGAAAATTAAACAAATTTTCACCTGTAAATTAAAAAGAATAAAATAAATATTATTTAAAAATTATAGAGAGAATTTTTAAGTAATGTTTAGCTGGAAGTATAATTTAAAGTGTTGCGAATGAGAATTTAAAGTAAACGAAATTAATAATTAATTAATTTTTTCTACGTTTAATATGTACATATGTCGGCGGAAAAATTCAGATTTAGGAAAAATTCAATTTTTCCTAGCATTTAGGAAAATTTCAGATAGTAATAAAGTTGTCAGTTGAGTCTGGTCTAGATTTTTGTTTTTTCGGTGTTGTTTGTGTTTTTTATGTTTGTTTTTGATTTTTCTGGGCTATCTTTAAATTTCCTGATTTAGTCAAGATAACCATATAAGATAAGTTTGGATTTTTTTAAAAACAAAAAAAACAACATAAACCTATGGGGAGTCGGCGAGACGCGTGCCGCGAGACGCGGCACGCGTCTCGCGGGAGTCAACGGTCGCTGGGTTCTGCACTAGTAACATAATCCTATTCCTTTTACCGATTTTCAGCATTGAAATGCCGACCTACCCATTCAGTTGTAGGACAAAAATTAAAAAACACGAACTAAAAACCAAATTAAAAAATAAAAACAAGGGAAAATCTTAAAAAAAAAGACAAACAACCAAAAAAACAAAAGAGAAACAAACAAGAAAAAACATACTCAAAAACGAAAAACAAGCGAAATAGTGTAAGACAGACTATTAAATTAATTTAATATCTGAAATTTTCCTAAATGCTCGGAAAAATTGAATTTTTCCTGAATCTGAATTTTACCGCCGACACATATAAATAATTATATGTTGAATGCAGGTGGAAATGGGGGGAAATTAGAAAGATTTTTTGTTAATATTTAGAAATTATAAATTTCAGAATTCCTCTACAAATTCAGAATTCCTATTTCCTCTACTTAAAAAAATCTCAAAAAATGTCCTTTGATTTCCTTGATATTTTATTTAAATTTGATTATTTTGTTTGTTTATTAATTGGGTTCCCTTTAAATATAATTCTAATTATTTTAATTAATTATTTTAATCTAATTATTTTAATCAAATTTTGATACAAAATTGTGTTTTGGATATTTCAATGTTGACTGTTCAATTATTTATTCAAGAGGTGATATTCAAACTGAAAGAAAACCTCAAAGTTAAAATAATAAAAATCAGATTTTAAAAAGAAGTACTTTATAACGAAACGAAATAAATTTTTTTTGTTTCGTTCCGAAACGAAACGAAAGGGAAAAAAGGGCACGAAAGAGCGAAACGAAACGAAACGAAATTTCGCCCATCCCTGGTAGGGACACACCCAAAACGGCGCATGGCCAAAACAACGCAAAGTCATAATTTGCTTCAAGATTTCCGAATCTTAACAAATTTAGTATTAAACGCTTCCACTCATTGAGCTAAAGAGATTAGTACCAAAATTTATAAGGGCCAGAAATTTTCCAGCTAGTTATGGCTTTGCGTCGTTATGGCCGCGCGTTGTTTTGGGCTGTACCCATCTCCGAATATCCGGACTTTTTCGGATACGAATCCCCCAACCCTACTCAGAAATTATTGGTAGAGAGAAATATTTTCAATTAATAATTTCTCTAATCAAATTGTATTTCAGCGTTCAAAAAGGTATTGAGGGGGTTAATTCTAAAGCCCAAACCAAACTGAAATCTCAAACAAAGATCACAGTTATCGAGATAATTTATTTATAAGCTTTTGCCTCGACTCCAGCTCGGGGTGTGCCTAGATTAAGCCTACGGAGTTCGAGTCGTTGTTTTTGCCCAAAAAATTGTCGGGG